AGCATGAGTATTTCTAAAGTATTCTCAGCCACAAATTCCGATTAGGAAAATTAGAAAACTCAGTGGTGACAGTCCACGGATGCAACATGTCTTTATCTGTGTGGAGTTCGAGTCGCTGTCTGAAATGAATCTGAAAGGAGGGAGAGAAAGAGCTGAACTTGGCGCCCCCACCAAATTCCACGATGGGAAGGCCGGCAGGCCCGGGACGGCGTGAGTTACCCAGAGTGGACGGGTGGGCCAGAACTTGGAGTGGCCGTTTTGCAAATACAAAACACACGTGGAAACAGCCACTGAGCAAACATTTTCAAAGGCAGAGGGATTCATCCACCCCGCAGAGCACTGGTGTCTGTGCACTGCCTACAGCATTCGGCTGGCAGCATCAAGCCACGGCTGGACAGGGCCGATGGCAGGGCCCGGTGCAAACACAGAGCTCTGCCGCACCCCTTCCCAAACAGTGCCATGTCCCCAGAGGAACTGGAGAAGCTCAGGTCCCCTTCCCTACAGGAGCCAATCACGCTGGGGGTGAGAATGCCTTTGTGTTGGGGTGTGCTCTGCAGACCCTCAGGTAAAAGGAAGGTGCTCCTCATTTAAATGGGCTGGCCAGGGGCTGGAGCGATAGCAGAGCGGGTAGGGCGTTTACCTTGCACGCGGCTGACCCGGGTTCGATTCCCAGCATCCCATATGGTCCCCTGAGCACCGTCAGGAGTAACTCCTGAGTGCAGAGCCAGGAGTAACCCCTGTGCATCATCAGGTGTGACCCAAAAAGCAAAAAAAATAAATAAAAAAAAAAACTAAAAGGGCTGGCCACCACCGTGCACACGGTGTCTCTTTCAGGGGCTACATGCCTAGCATGACTTAGAAAACGCCAGGGCTGAGAGTAAACTGGCATGAAACCACTCGAGGATGCTGACATGGGAAGCCTGGCTATGTACCCCAATAAACAGATGATCTTTTGATAATAAAAGTCTTCTTCCCTTAGTTATCTCTACAACTTACAGTTAACCTCTTTTTTTAAACCCAACACTCACAATATATTTTTGTTGGTTTGGGGGCCACACCTGGCAATATTCAGGGGTCAGTCACAGCTCTGCACTCAGGAATAACTCCCTGTGGTGTTAGATCGAACCCGGATGGACTCCCAGCAAGGCGAGTACCTGGCTGTACTCTCACTCCAGCCCCCAGGACCCATAAATTTTAATTTGATTTATTGTGCTTCATGCCTATTGGTACGACCAAAATGTATCTGCAGATACAAAAGAACCTCACCACGTTTGCAGTCTTTACATTTCAAGGACTTGACTTTCCAGACATTTTCTCCAAAGCTGTCTTGTAGGTCAGGGGGCCACGAGGGGGAATGGATAAGACCACTAGCTGGACACCAGCCTGACCGGTGCGCCCCCCAAACCCCACTGCCCACCCAGCTTCTGAGGAACTACACCCAACTTCTGGGAGGAAGCAGCAAACGCCCTGAATAACTTCCTTGACGTCACATCACAAGGCTTTTGAAAAATGAGCGTGGGGCGCAGTCCCGGCACGTGTACAGTGCTGGATCTAGACCTTCCCCTCCAGCAGCTGCGGTCTCGGTCCCAGGAAAGCACTTCCGGTGCAGGAGAGGCAGTAGTGGGGACTAACCTGCACAAAGGCACCCACCCACAAAACAGTCTCTAAGGGACCACTGTCCTGGAGCACTGTTGTTCATCGATTTGCTCGAGCGGGCACCAGTAATGTCTCATAACAAATTGTGAGACTTGTTGTTACTGTTTTGGCATATCGAATACACCACGGGGAGCTTGCCAGGCTCTGCCATGTGGGTGAGATACTCTCGGTAGCTTGCTGGGCTCGGAGAGGGCTGAAAAAAATTAAACGGGGATTACAGCCACAGTGAAAGTGGCACACAAGGGCCGGAATGATCACACAGCAGGGAGGGCGTTTGCCTTGCACGCGGCCAACCCAGGTTCGATCCCCAGCATCCCACAGGGTCCCCTGAGCACTGCCATGAGTGATTCCTGAGTGCAGAGCCAGGAGTAATCCCTGAACATCGCTGGGTATGACACAAAAATTAAAAAAGAAAGAAAAAGAAAGTGGCACATGAGGTGGCAGCAAATGCCTGTCTTCAGTATTCTTCCCCTTTCTGGCACGAGTCCCAGCTGGGATGATATTTTTCTCACCTTAAAGAGTTTGCACTTAAAAAAAATCGAAGTTAAATATGTATGCTTGGGGCGGGGGGGATTCCAAATTGTATCGGAGGGGCCGGAGCAACAGCACAGCGGGTAGGGCATTTGCCTTGTACGCGGCCAACCCAGGTTCGAATCCCAGCATCCCATGTGGTCCTCGGAGCACTGCCAGGAGTAATTTCTGAGTGCAGAGCCAGGAGTAACCCCTGGCTGTGATCCAGAGCAAAAAAAAAAAAAAAAAAAAAAAAACAAACAAAAAACAAATTGTATCTGAAATGATTAAAATGTAAGTTTGCTAACCTGTCTCAGGAGCGTCGTCTAACTAAAACGGGCGGATGAGGGTCCCGAGAGGGATGGGTTGAGTGCACTTTGTGTACAGGGGCCTCCTGGCTTTGACCCCTGGCACATGGTCCCCTAAGAATTTTCAGGAGTGATCCCCAAGCACTGAGCCAGGAGTAGCCTGAGCCCCGCCAGGCATGACCCAAAAGAGCAAAATAAAGAAAAGGCCCAGAATGGGTTAAATGAATGTTCTGCTGGGAAGGAAAGTTGGGACCCGGATCCCAGAGGAGAGACAGCCTGGCCTTGGCGAGCTTCACTTCTGCGACGCGGGTGGATTCAGTGCGCTGTGGGGACACCGAGTAGCTGGGACACTCAGGCAGACCCAGCTTGCCAGACCCTGGGCAGAGACGCCTCTAAGGCACGGGGCAGTCACAGGAGATGCCAGGGGCCATGGAATAAGACAGCCAAGGGGGTCGGCCCGCCAGTTCCCCCTGTAAGGCCAGTGGCACAGGCTGTGGCCACTCAGAATGCATTTCCCTAAAGCCCGCAGCTGCTGGCTTGTGATGCGACTGAGAACACTTAGGTCCAATGGGCCACCTCTGGGCGACACTCCTGGGGGCCCGTCATGTGCACCTCGCCACCCGCAGTCTCTGTGGGCTCGGTGGGAAGAAGCCCCGGCTGATGAAGACCATGAGCCTCAGAGACCCCATGTCTGGCCCACACATCCGCCGGATGCGTCTGGCGTGGCGCACCTGGCCACCCAAGGGTGCTTCCCAGCCCTCTGTTTCTCTGTCATTGCAACACAAATCTGGAAAGACGCGTCCTAAAAGGAAACGCTTGGAGAATGCTCCAGGTCCCAATCAGAGCCGAGATCACCAGGAAGTCCCAGATGGGGTAGGTGCCGCATCCCGCCTTCTCCAGATGGAACCCCGGTGACCATGAGCCTCTACAAGCATAGCTCGGGCATGCGGGAACCAGGACTTTTATTCCAAACGTAAGCGGCCGCGCGACATCTCCTTATATACAAAGTGATCAATGGAAAGTAAATCATCCAACATTTCTCCCTGAAAATCAGGCTTAACTCTTACAAACCACAACACCCAATAGGAGCGAGAGAACAAAAGGGAATGCCCTGCCACAGAGGCAGGGTGGGATGGGTGGGACGGGGGGTGGGAGGGATACTGGGATCCGTGGTGGTGGGAAATGGTCACTGGTGGAGGGATGGGTATTCAAAATAAATAAAAATTAAAAATTTTTTTTAAAAAATAAAGGAAATGCTTAAGATCTAATAATGCAAAAGATCTGGGAAACAGAGGGTCTCCATGGAACTCAAACTGGGGCTCTCTGAGGTGCTGAGAGCGGCAGGAACACCCTGCAGAGAAAGGACACCCCCAAGTTTGCATTTGGAAGACAGAGGTCTGGGTGGGATTTTTAAACCTAATTTGCCCAAAAAAGGTCCACTGGGAACTCAATGCAAGGAAGATTTCTCACGCTACTCCGGCTAATTGAGCTCTAGTCCACAGCCTACAGGAAATGTCATTTCATTCAGGAAATAGTTTTAAGTACATTAAGTCTGATCGGTGCCTTTCTGTCATCACAGATGACACACAGAGCCGGTGTCATTAGGAGGGATAATGAGGAGCATCAGGGCTGAGGGGTGGGGTGTCGCAACTGTGCCCCCGGCCCGCAGGGGGGCCTTTCCACATGGCCGGGTCTAATGGGACAGTGGCCACCCGGAGAGGCAGAGGAAGCCTCTGACAGCAGGGAGGGGGGGGGGTGGGGGGTGGGGGGGTGGGGGGTGGGGGGAATTGGGGGGAAATGTGACCTGGCAATAAATAGGAAACAAGGTAAGACAAAATGGGTGTGTGCCTTGCTCTCTCTCTAGGAAATTCGGAGCCGGCAGTTGCTTCCCTGTCATTTTCTAACCCCCAAACTGCAAGGCAGCTCTGACCTACAAGGCGCCCTCCTGGGAAATGTTCCCTGCGACTTTCAAAAGTGAAGGCACACAGCCACCAGAATCCTCGGGTCGGGGGCTGAGTTCTTGAGAACACTCTCTCTCCCACAGGATGACTCCACGGACACTGAGCACAAGAAATATATTTTAGAAAGTATTCCTAAATATTGGGATCAATCAGAGCAGTGTGTCTATGTATATGCTCTTAAGAAAAGCAAAATACGCGTGGCCACTTCTGTGGCCGCACGACATCATATGTTATTCATAACCAGCAATAGAAAACAAATTGTCTACTGTTGCCTTTTCGGCAAATCTGAGTGTTAGGGTAAAATCCCAAATAACAATGGTGGGTCTGGTGTTGAAATACTGAATGTGATCAAAGTAGAGAGAGAGTAATGTGGAAATTGTCTGCCCCACACGTAGGGGGAGGGTGTGGGATGGGGGTATACTGGGGCTTTTGGTGGTGGAGAATGAGCACTGGTGAAGGGACAGGTGTTTCATCATTGTAAGACCGAGACTGCTCTCACGGTGATTCAATAAATAAAATCATAAAAATAAAGGGAAGGGAAAAAAAAAAGCAAAATATTCAAGGAAGCATAAAACCACTTGACCTTTAAATAAAAATGCTTTATTCGCTCCTGACAGGTTATCAAAATGTACATTGTTAACCAAGTAAAAATGGTAACTTTCAAAGAGTTGACTCGGGCATCTCTGGAGAACTTCTGAAGAGTGAAAGCCACTTCCACACACAAGTGTGCCCTTTGCGGTGTATAATGGAACGTACAAACAACTCCCCGTGGGTGAATGAGCACCCTATCCGCTCCCAGCCGCGGGCAGCTCCATCGGGGTCACCATCCCCCCTTACACTCTCAGACGTGTTCTTCCCATGTCTGGTGGCTTTGTCAATGATATAAAGAATGCAGCACAGGACGCAGTCACTAAGTACACGACCCACAGGATAAAGTGCAACCTGACAGAACCTGTCTGCGAGTCCCCGCCTCCGCCTCCACCCGGGGGCTTCTGAGGCCGGGGAGAACCATCCTTGAGCGCTCGGGCCCGGTGAGGCGACGCCTCCCACCCCGGGACTGACACCGGAAGTGCTACCTACTTGCTCTGCGTTGCCTGGGCGTCTGCTCTCTGGCTCAAGGTAAAGTGTCAAGGTGGTGACTCTTTTACGAACTCGAGGAAAAAACAACAATAACAACAGCAACAACAGCTCATCCGAGCAACAGAAATAGTGCTTTCAAGGCGCTCAGCCATTTCTGGGCACGGGGGCTTGTTTAAGGAAGCGTCAGTGGGGCGGCGAGCCTCCCACTGACTCGGCAGCAAACGCTTATGGACGTCCGACACCAGCCAAAGACTCCTACAGGCAGGTACCAAACTAGCCCTAAGAAACATCACAATATAATTTTTTTTTTTTGGTTGCATGTTGCTTTGATATTACATAGCTAACAAATGCTTTTGTTCCTGAGATGAGCACAATAAAAGTAAATGGATTCCCTCAAGAGCTGTCGCCAGGGACGCTGGACGCCGCCTCTCCACCCCGGTCACCGTCTCCGCGGAGAAAACGTCCGGCCGATGCGTCAGTCCTCCCCGTGGCGCCACTTCTGCGACTCATCCTGCCGTACGTCGGGCCGGATCTGGTTCCTCATGCCCCCCAGCACGTTGGAGGTGGCTTCCGTGGCCACGATCAGAGGCCGCACCACGGCCGGGGGGATCTGGCGCAGGACCTCGCCCACGGCCCCCGTCACCCCTCTGCTCTCGTGCTCCCGAGCCGCCGTCTCGTAGATGGTCTGGGCAGTGTCGGTGATTCCCTGGAAGGTCAGGAACAAGGTGAGTGATGGGAAACGCTCTGCGGGGTGGAGCGACAGCACAGCGCGGACGGCATCTGCCCTGCACGCGGCAGACCCAGGTTCGATCCCCGGCATCCCATAGAGTCCCCTGGGCCCACCAGGACTGATCCCTGAGCACTGAGCCAGGAGAAAGCCCTGAGCCTCGCTGCCCCAGAACCCGAAATAAAGAGGGGAAAAAGAAAATACTCTGAATCATCCAATGTGACACACTCTTTAGCAGAGCTCATCAACACTATGTTTAGAACTGGAAAAAATTAAAGAAACCACTGATTTCAAAGTAATGAATAATTTTATGACATATTTCTAATTATAAGGGAAAGGAAGAGATAATTATTACAATTTGGCCTTATGTTGTGACATGCATATGTAGAAAATTTAGCTAAACTACAATTTCATCCAAGGAAGCTTTCAGAAATATCTAATAATCCAAGAACAGCTTCCCTCGCACTATTAATCATTCTAGCTAAATCAAACTTAGCAAATAAAGCTTTCTGGATGAATATAATCACTCAAGAAATATGGTGATAGCTCCTTGGATTCAAGTATAACAAAATAATAAAACCACCCTAAATTCCACTCAGCTCCGGAAAATTATTTAATTTTAGTTATGTACTAAAAAGATAACTGCAACATTGAATTAAGACAGAGCTAGCCCGACCCAATAGTCCCGGGCAGAAGCAGGAGCAGGAGCGCCACGGGGCAGAGCCTGGCGTCCCTCTCCTGAGGACTGAGGACGCCAGACCCATCTTCACTGTTGGGTGGCGCTGGGTTAGAGCAGGCAGGAGCTCGCGTGCTTTGCCCATCTCTCTCTAGGGTTGGGCTGGCTCCGAGTGCCGCCTGCTGGCCGAGACGGGGGTCCAATGTGGGCAGGAGGACGGAGCCCAAGGGGGACAGTGCCGTGCCCTGAGGGGGTCAGTGGGGAACACAGCACAAGGCCCGAGGCCTCCTGGGTCTGGAGTCTTGCACCTGTCTCACTGCCAGCAAGCCTGCCAGGTGACTTCTGCCAGCACAGGTGCAGAACGCATGACACGGGGTGAGCAGGAGGGTCGGATGAGGTCAGAGCAAGACCTCGGCGCTCTGGGTTTGGGCGCCGTGCCGCGGGGCTCGGGGCTGCTCCTGGCAGTGCTGGGCCCGGGTGGACGAGCTCAGCATGCACGCAGACGGACAGCAACCTGTGCCCGCCAACCCAAGTGCTCTTTAAATCCCACCTACAAGGCAGCAGCCGGTTAGAACCACATACAGTACAGACATGATTCCCCGCATGCCATCTCGGGTCCCTGTAAGGGGCAGCAACGAGGTGACTAGGGCTCTCATGACACGGGCACCCGACCTGTGGCCTGGGTGGCACAGGAACAAATGCAGCTCCCAGTCCCAGCCCTGCCACAGACAGTCTATCTCTGGGGAAAGAGAAGAGCGAGCTGAGGGGAAACCGAGGCCCGGGGCAGCGGGCGGGGTTCAGGCACATGACAGGGTTCCTGTGAGTCCACTCCTCCCCTCACTAACCAGCTCACACAGGGTGGCCTTTCGCCAGGAAGGGCTGGGCGCCTGCGGTTTGAAACTGCCTTGGAAAACAACAACGTTAGGGGCCGGAGCGATAGCATAGCGGGTAGGACATTTGCCTTGCATGCGGCCGGCCTGGGTTCGATCCCCCGCATCCCATAGGGTCCCCCGAGCACCGCCAGGAGTAATTCCTGAGTGCAGAGCCAGGAGAACCCCTGAGCATCGCTGGGTGGGACCCAAAAAGCAAAAGAAAATAACAAAGTTTCCACAGACTTTCATATCTACTCTCTTTTTCACAAACCCCTTCGATTTATAAAAAAAATAAATAAACTGAACAATGTGATACTCATGTTTAGGTCAAAGGTGCATACAAAGCAGGGTGGGCCCGGCCTGCGGGCTGGAACTTGTCCATCCCTGGCTGCTGGGTCAGGTCCCTCAGGGCAGACCAGCTGGACACTTCTGCTTGTCCACAGAGTATGAGAGAATATCCAGAGTGAATCCCAGTCACTAAATCACAGGCTTTACCTTCCGTAGCCCTTTTCATGCCAGAGTAGAAAAAACACGAGAGAAGATTACAACAGAACCCCCTGAAAACACCCACAAGGAACGATGCTTCAAGGGTGTTGCAAAGTCAAACTCCCTCTGGGCTTAATAAATGCCCACGCGCAAAGTTACAAACGACCATTTTCACCCACAAGAACTTCTTGCAGGTAGGAACAGAAGGTCATTTCCCATAACCTTTTCCCGGAACTATTTGAAGGAGAAAAACAGAAACTACATGCCTGCTGATAGGAACGTAAATCTGGCTCCTTCATATAAAGAAACACAAATTAAGAGGAATGTATCTTGGAACAAAAAAAGTTGCGTAGGAGCTGGAGAGATCGTCCATCGGGGAGGGCGTCCGCCTTGCATGCAGCTGATCCGGGTTGGATCCCCAGCATCCCATATGGTCCCTCAAAGCACCACCAGGAGTGATCCCTGAGCACAGAGCCAGGAGTCAGCCCTGAGCACAGCCGGGAGAGGGGCTCAAAAACCAAACCAAGGAGTGTCTAACACAAATCATTCACACGAACCACAGAGACGTTCAGGACCAGAGATGGAGCACCCTCAGGGCAGCAGTGGGGGGGGGGGGGGGCGGGATGACCCGGAAGCTCCATCTCTAAGGGAATCTGGGTGGGCGCAGGGCTGAGCTCTTGCTCTGAATGTGTGAGGCCCCAGGTTCCATCCGGGCACCACCAGAAAAAGTTCATAAAAATTAACCCCCCTTTGTTCCAGTACCATGCTGTTTTCATTATTACTGCTTTGTAGTAGAGTTTGAAGTTAGGGGGGTTGAGTCCTCCCATTTTCTTTTCCCCCAAGAATTGATTTAGCTATTCGTGGGGGCCAAGAATGGTAAGTACCAGGAGGTTTACTCCATGGCTTGGAGGCCAGCCACACACGTTAGGGGAAAAGGCAGCTCAGAGAAGGGAGCGCCAAATAAAGGGTGTTGGGAGGATGCTCCCAGGATGGGAGAAGCATGCTGAAGGTAGACTATAGACTAAACATGATCGCCACTCAATGCCTCTCTTGCAAACCACAGCACCCAAAAGGAGAGAGAGAACAAAAGGGAGTGCCCTGCCACAGAGGTAGGGTGGGATGGGGGGGATGGGGGGTGGGAGGGATGTTGGGACCCGTGGTGGTGGGAAATGGGCACTGGTGGAGGGATGGGTACTCGATCATTGTATAACTGAAACCCAAGCGCAAAAGTTTGTACATCTACAACTGTACCTCATGGTGTTTCACTAAAATAAATAAATAAATAAATAAATAAATAATAAATTAACCCCTGCTGAGGTCAACACAGCAACAAATGCGGCTGTGCACGGCCAGTTGCTGGGACCTGCTGGGCCTTGCCTGTATGTCACTCCCTCCCCGGTGTTTTGGCTGTAAAGAGCCAGTCTCTGCCACGCCGGCATTCCCGGAAGCCAGGCCCTGGAGGGAGGTTCCCGTGAGGTCCCCCGCCTGGCGCACGCTCACCTCCTTCACCACGCTGTAGGCCTTGGCCACGCCTTCCCGCAGGTCCACTGGCTGGGGGGCCAGCCGGTGATGGGGGAACCTTCTGGGCTTCTTGGGCTCGAGAGCGAGTGGCCCGGGAGACACCATGTCGTATGCAGTCTCGGCGGCTGCCTGGGCATTCGAGCAGAAAGGAGGGGGAGGAGTCAGGGGAAGTCTGTGCGCGGAGCACCGGCGGCGAGCGGCAGAATGGGATGGCGGGACATCCTGGCAGACTGAGAAGTGACCTCGGGACGGGGTTGCTCCACGCCTTCCTGGGTCCTCGGAAAACACTCCGGAACACCAGGCAACTGAGAGCAACTGGGGGTGGGGGTCACTGGGAGCTCCTGCCCACCACAGCAAGCCTCGGTGTCATTGCCCACCCCCAGCTACTGAGACCCTCCCCTCCGACTGCGGGGCAGCGAATGCTCAGCTAACCCTTGCTTCCCCCGAAGAGCCAGCCAGCCTGACCCTGCGTGCCGGGCTCCGCTAGGCCCGCGACACTGGCCAGCCACAGCCTCACACGGTGGGAACTAGCCTCAGCGGGTACCTGTATGGTCTGGACCATCCGGTTGGTGAGCTCCAGAGCCGCCATCGCCGTGGAGGTGCCAAAGGAGGCCGCCCCTCTCTGGAAGCCCCGGACAATGCGGCCATCCTTCCGGTACTGCTCGATCGGTAACCAGACCAAGTCCTTGAGACCTTGCACTGGAACGAGAATTCACAGGAGGCAGTTAACGGGGCGGGGGGGGGGGGGGGGGGGGAGGAGGGGGGCTGGAGCTGTGCACTGCCACCAATGTCACTCTGTCCCTGGGTAGAGGGCATTTGGTTCTTTGGGATCTGGGCCCCCTTGGCTAAGCTCAAGGCTGCTACTCCAGGCTCTGTGCTCAGGGGTCACTCCTGGCGGGGCCCAGGGGTGCCAGGAATCAAACTTGGGGCAGTTGCTGGCCTTGGAACTGGACGCAGGGTCCATAGGGGGGGACTACATAGTTTTCTACAAAGCTGCTTCTCAGGGAGACGCTTCAAGGCATCAAGAAACCCCCAAGAGTAAGCAAGCATCACCAACGAGGCCAGGCAAACTCACCGAGCTGAACCAGTGAGTGCATCGGCCCGACGCCGCCCAGGATCCCCGGCAGCTGGTTCTTCTTGATGTCAGTCAGCCACTCCGTGATCGCGTAGGAGAACAATTTGTCAACCCCGAGCAAACTAGAGCAAATGCGACCGTTAGAGTGCGGAAGGGAGAAAGAAACCTGCAGGCTTCGACCTTGAGGTAAGTAAGCTGAGGTGTTTTTCTTTTTCGTTAAGACAAGGAAAACTGGGGGCCTGGGGCCAGCACACAGGCTTTCGCATGCTGCACGCGGGGTCATCCCCAGAGCCCAGTGGTCCCCCAAGCAATGCCAGGAGGTTCCCTGAGCACTGTGCTGGACATGGGTCCAAGCAACACCAGGAGGAGCCCTGAGACAATAATGAGAAGAAAAATAGAAACACAAAGAAAATTTACTATTAGAACAAAATGATCAAAGATAGTTAACCTGAATCATATATACGTACGCATATAATTCAACTACGAAGTTAATAATTTATTAGGCTTATGTCAGGGGCTACTCTTGGGGTTGGTGCTTGGGGAGTGCTTGGTGCTTGGTGCTTGGGGATTGCTTGGTGCTTGGTGCTTGCTTTCCACGAGGAAGGCTCAATCCCTGAGGAAGGGAAGGCTCAGGGATTGAGCCTTCCTCGTGGACAGCAAGCACTCCGTCCTCTAATTTCTTGAACTTCTAAAGCTCTGGCACACGTTTAACTCAAGATCTACAAACTGTCACACATTTGCAAGCACTCAACCCAGTGATCTCCCAGCACTGCCAAGAGCGATCCCCAAACACCACTGGGTGTGGGCCCAAACCCAAAATAAACAAAGGCCTTAGCTACCTTACAGTGAGACTGATGGCCCAACCTTTTTGCTAAACGAGATAAGCTACAAGTTTGAGAGATTATTTTTTTCAAAATACTTGTAACTAAAGCTGTTTTTTAAAGAGACCATAGTGTTTGAAATACTCCTTTCAGAATAAAAATGACCCCTCCTCAATGAAAATTCTCTAAAAATGAGCTCTCTACAAACAATACCGTAAAATGATGTGTGCTAAGGAACCTACCGACTTTTTTCTGTTTTTTTTTTTGGGGGGGCCACACCTGGCAATGCTCAGGGGTTACTCCTGGTGGTGCCTGGGGGACCACGTGGGACATCAGGGACTGAACCAGGTTGACCGAACACAAAGCAAGCGCCCTCCCCACTGTGCTAGCACGCCAGCACCAAAATCTCAGTTTTTCACATAAACTTCAGTGACTCCACCTTCAAGCCTCACACGTAAGTCAACTTACCCATGCCGGTAGAAGAGCCTCTTCAGTTTTAATTCCGAGCAGTTTAGCTGGGCTAGACCAATCAAAATTCCAGCTAATGTACCCTTTGGAATAAAAAAAGATCCTTGTTAGTCTGTAGTCAGACACTTATCGCTGAGACAGTTACTTGGGGAAAGCAAAGACACCAACACAAAATGAAGGAGTTTCAAACATATATAGCAAAAAACACATATTCTAAAATATCTATGACCCAATCATGAAAAGTTTCACTCATAGGCTCTTTCGTAAATCCATATTTCATAAAAATGGAACCGACTTTTACACATACTGATTTACGTTTTTATTTCATATATATAAATATGACCATAAAGCCTGAAAAAAGGCAAACCCACTCAGAAAATAATTTGCAGAGAATGTCTGTATAAAAATTTCAAACCTGGGATTTGAGATAGTATAGTGGGTAAGGTGCCTGCCTTGCATGCAGTCAACCCAGGTTCAATGCCCCGTACCAAAGAGGATGCCCACGGCCCTGCCGGGAGTTATCTCTGAACACAGAACCAGGAGTAAGCCCCGAGCACTGCTGGGTGTGTCCCCAAAACAAAAACAAAAACGTCCAAACCTGATCCATTGATACATGTTTTCCATGATAATCAAGACGAATGGGAACTTCTGATGTGAATCTAAATTCTCTAAAAATAAAGAAAGGACAGTATTTATATCTAATATTAGTAATAAGCTGTATTTACTAATACAATATAAACAATGTACTTACAATATAAACTATATAACAATATAAACCATAAAAAAGCCCTAAATAAAGAGAAAATGTCTATCTTTATGCAAAAGAACAAGTGAACCAATGTCTTATCATATAAACTGAACCTCCTTTAGTATATTTAAATTTTCTCAACATTTCCCTAGTCTCTAAATTCTTAAAACTTAATGTGAGGGTCATGAAAAGTCTTCAAAAAGTGTTTCAAAATAAATTTCTGTATGATAGTTCAGTGAGTGATTGGCATACCTATTTTATATACCTATATTCACAGGGTCAAGTAAAAATTTCTCAGGCAAAAAGGGACCGTGAAGAGAAAAAGTTAAGAAGACCCATTTAATTTACCAGATAAAATTTTCCTAAGAAATATTCATTTTATATGTATTCTCACTTCACACAGAGAATAAAGTAACGACAGCAATCTTTAAGATTCAGCCAATAGGGCCTGGAGCGACAGTACTGCGGGTAAGGGCGTTTGCCTTGCACGCAGCAGACCCAGGTTCGATTCCCAGCATCCCATATGGTCCCCCAAGTACCGCCAGGAGTAATTCCTGAGTGCTGAGCCAGGAGTAAGCCCTGTGCATCGCCGGGTGTGACCCAAAAAGGAAAAAAAAAAAAAGACTCAGCCAATACTATGATCATAAAATGAAACAGAGGGAGGGTGAGGCAGAGACAGGAACGCCAGCCTGGGCGACTGTGCCCAGAGACCTGGACCCTGGGTCTGGGTCTCTCTGGCAGTGATTGTTCACCTGCACTGGTGACTCCAGAGAGCATTCTTGAATGCTCAGAGACAGGCTCCCCATCGAGGGTGGGAATGCGATGTCAATTACATGCTGATGGCGCACCTCAGACAAAAGGAACTTGCTTCCAATGCTGGGAGTAGTAGAAGGGACGGAGACCGCACAGTGCTTGCCTTGCACCTGGTCAACCCCGGTTTGCATCCCCTGCACCTCATATGGTCCCCTGGGCAAATGTCTGGGGTGACACAGGTGCCCAGAGCCAGGAGTAGCCCACTAGGTGAGGTCCCCAAACAAACAAAATACCAAAAAAGCTGGGAGGTACATTGGAACTTGAGACATTTCCCCCTGTAAAATGAATCTAACGGTATATCCAAAGCCTCCTTGACACACAGTCAAACATTCTGTACAAGCAGCCTGGAATCCTGGGTCACTGGCCAATACTCACCCCCTCTGGGTTTCTGGGCATTTGGAAATGTGCCCAAGTCTTTCACGCACTTTCTCTCTCCCTGGCACAGACTAGGACAAACCATCTATCTTTGATTGTAAACTCAAACGTGTACACACGGAGTTAAGTGGCTCAGTAAATAAGCAACCGTGGAATGGAAAAGTGAGAGGGACGAGAAGACTGCTGACAGCCTGACTTGGCAAACTCGGGAACTGGGATTAGGGAAGCACGCAGCCCTGGCCTGCTGACGAACTCACCTCTGGACACTTCCTCAAGCTGCTGAGCGATGAATAATGTGAGCAGCATCAGTTACTACAATATCAGTCACTACACTGGATCCTGAAACCCTCTAGGAAATACTGAGACCAGAAATGGAAATCTAGGGACTAGACCAAGAGTACAGTCGGTAGGGCACTTGCCTTGCACATGGCCAACCAAGGTTTGATCCCCGGCACCCCATGTGGTCCCTCTCAAGCCCAGCCAGGAGTGACCCTGAGCACAGAGCCAGGAGTAAGCCCTACACACTGCCGAGTATGGTCCAAAGACGACTGACCTTTAACAAAGAGTGGAACTCTAAAAGCTATTTTCACTAGCCCAACAGGGAAAAAATGAACCGTTAAGTCAGGCTGGAACACTTTTAGCTGACTAAAAACGTGTCAGATTGACCCAGAAGTGTTTACAAAAAAACAATTAGTATGTGATTGGAATACTCAATTTCTTGCATAAGATACACTTTGGGGGGTAGAGAAATAATTTAAAATAAACAGCTCACAAATTGAGCAGGAGGGATAGTACAGTGGGGAGAGTCCTTGCCCTGCACACAGCCAACCCGGGTTCGATCCCTGATGTCATACGTGATCCCCTGAGTACTGCCAGGATTAATTCCTGAGTGCAGAACCAGGAGTGAGCTCTGAGTACTGCCAGGTGTGACCCCCAAACCAATAATAAATAAAAGCTCACTTTATGAAAAGAAAAGAGGTTTGTCTTTTGCAATTAAGATTTAGACTCATCAGAGATTACATAACCTGAAATCTTTCTAATTTTCATATTTTATCTTTTTTCCTTCTCATCAGTACCTAAGATATTAAAAACATGGCACAGACCAACAAACATGGGTGCTTGCCCTAATCCCACTTGCAGTGTGTCTGCCAAGTTAGGCCGTGAGCAGTCCTCCTCTTCCCTTTCATTTTCCCATTCCACCGTTACTTACTGAGCCGCTTAACTCTGCCGAGCGTTGGCTGCCCAGGTGGGTCGCCCCCGTCCCCTCACAATGCCCGCCCCCACTACCACACACAGAAGCTCAGGGCCTGTGGGAAGGGCAGAGAAACCCGGAGAATTCCTTTCAGTGACTGGAGGAGCACGGAGGAAGGATCTTCACCCTTTCTTCTCCTAGCGAGCCATGCTCCATCCCAGACCCACGCACTGGGAAAGGAAGACAGAAGCAGGGGCTTGTGCACGAGGGACAGGGACAGGCAGAGGCACCGGTCCGGGAGGCGAGCCGTGGGCTACAGCCAGGGCACACATCTGCGGGCAGGGTTTGGCTTACGGGCAGGGCCCACTCAGCTGGGGAGCCTGGGCGGAGGCACATGGCAGTCAGGGCCAAAGCCAATGAGAACTTCCGTGAGGGGAAAAAGCAGGAAGGCCAAAGTTGCGATTACAGGGCAAAAAAAAAAAAAACAAAAAACCAAAAAAAAACCAACAACGGTGCCTGAAGATGCAGCTGTGATGTTCCTGGAAAGCGTGACCCAGGGCGTGAAAAAGGAAAGAGCTGGGAGGAAAGGGAAATGCCAGCCTTGGCAGGAGCACTGCAGGGCCCCTGGGTCAGGGCTGCCGAGAGTTATGTCGGATGACAAAAGTGCAGGTGCGTCAACTCAGACCCTCGCTGACTGCTGAGCAGCGGGACACACAGACCGACCACACAGCAATCCCGAAGGCGCCTGAGTCACTGCACCTGTCGTCGACACCGAGGAACTCACCTGAAGAACACGGGCTGGTCACTAAACGATGCCTCCTCAGCCGAGAAGTCCTTCTCCTCCTCCCCGTTAACCAGGTCCTCCGCGTTGGCACTGTCCTGCTGAGAAGGCTGCTTTGGCCCAGGGAAAGAAAGAACCAGACTTGGCTCCTTTGAGGTACTTAAGTGCCTTGGCAAGCTGCAGGTGACATCAGCCCCAGGAGACTTCCTCACTGAAATGCGGAAGATGCACATTGGACAAATCAGACACGCTTCAGGGCAAACGTTCAATCTGAAGTTAACCTGTTCGGCGGCATTTCACTCACTACGCACTATTACTTCTAGAGAAAAAATAGATTCACCTTTCAAACTATGCGGACATTAACTATATTTGCATATTTTAAAGAAACACAACGAGTATTTATATAAATGAGTATAAAGATTCTCAGTGAAGGGGCTGGAACAAGCGTACAGCAGGCTGGGTGCTTGCTGGCCAACTTGGGTTTGAGCCCCTGTACCTCCTATGGTCCCCTGAGCACCTCCAGGAGTGATACCCGAGTGCAGAGCCAGGAGTAAAACCCTAAGCCCTGCCAGGTACAGCCCAAAAAAACAAAAAACAAACAAAAAAAAAAAGGGAAAAGAAAAAAGATTCTCAATAAAGGTCCTTAATCAAAATCACGTATTTTACGATGAATTTCTATCTCTGGGGCACGGAGGCCTGATAGGATGCTTGGTATGGTTTTTATGTCTGCGATTTATGTAGGTTTGTAATGATGCCCTAAAGTGTGATCTATCCTGGAGAATGTTCCATGTGCTCTAGAGAAAAATCTGTATTTGGCTTTTTGGGGATGTAAGGCCCTGTAGATATCTACTAATCCCAGTTCTTCTAGCTCTTCCTATGGTGTTCTTTTGTCTAGCTGGCCTGTCCAGCGGCGACTGGAGAGCTGAAGTCCCCCACTACTACTGTGTTGCCATCCAAATGTTTCTTTAGGCGGTGGGCAAAGCCTTACAAGGTTTGCTGAGCCTACATTAGTGGCGTGTGTGTCGAAGTTAGTACTTGCTATACTGCTCCCTTAACCAATAAGCAGTGTCCGCCCCAATCTTTGATTCCTTTCTTTATCACGAATGCTGTTTGGTCTGATATAAGTGTGGCTGTCCCAGCTTTATTCTGCTTACCACTGGTTTGTATGACTATTTCCAGCCTTTTACTCTGAGCCTGTGTCTGTTCTGCGTGACTTTAGATGTGTCTCCTGCAGGCAGCAAATCGATGGATTTTATTTCCTGGTCCATTCTGCCACTGTGTCTTTTGAGGGGAGAGTTCAGTCCACCAACATTCAGAGAAATTATTGACCTATAGGGCTGTGTTGCCATTTTACTGTATGGGGTTGTTCTCCTACAATTGGCTGTTTGGTTTATATGAATGGTCTTTCAGTATTTCATTCAGGGTTGGTTTATTATAGCAAATGCTGTCGGCTCTTGTTTGAGAATGTTTCTATCCTTCCCTCCCATCTAAATGAGAGCTTTGCAGAGTAGTGAAGTCTTGGCTAAAAAAGAATCAAAATCAAGTAGACTATAGACCGAACATGATTGCCACTCAATGCCTCCTCTGCAAACCACAGCACTCAAAAGGAGAGAGAACAAAAGGGAGTGCCCTGTCCAGAGGCAGGGTGGGATGGGAGGAGGATGGGGGGTGGGAGGGACACTGGGATCAGTGGTGGTGGAGAATGGGCACTGTGGAGGGATGGGCACTCGATCACTGTATAACTGAAACCCAAGCACAAAAATTTGTAAGTCTACAACTGTACCTCGTGGTGTTTCACTAATAAAAATTAAAAAAAAAAAAGAGCAATTGACAAATTAATGACAAGTAGAGTCATTAGACATTAGGAGACAAGTTTTTAACGTGGATATCTGCAAAGTTGTGAAAGCTCTTTCTTGGTGTAATGTGAACAGAATCTTCTCTCAACCTCTTTTAAATTAAAAAAAAAATCAATCACTACTAATTTAACTACATCTTTTACTCTTGATATAAATGGACATTTTATATGCCTGTTTTATAATCACACTTTTTAGAAAATCAGTAGTATTTATTTTTAAAATAGTGCTAGTAATTGTCTTAAAAAGTGTAATATATAAAAATAAAAATTAAAAAAAAATTTTAAAAAAAAGAAGAAGAAGAATCAAAATCACCCAAGCACCTGGCTTAAACTATAGCTATCTCATACCTTCTGGATCTGGAGCCATTAAAATCTCTACTTCTGTAGAAAGACTTGTGAAGAAATCCTTTAGGAAGAACAAGGCATCCTGAAACAAAGCAATGTAATTAAAAACTCAAAGAAAAGAAAGGTAATTGATTTCTAAAACTATGATCAAAGTGTCTCAAAGTCTCTTATTTTACCAATTATCACATACAGCTACAAATTACTGAATTCTTTTTTTTTTCTTTTTGGGTCACACCCAGCGATGCACAGGGCTTACTCCTGGCTCTGCACTCAGGAATCACCCCTGGCGGTGCTTAGGGGACCCTATGGGATGCTGGGAATCAAACCCGGCTTGGCCGCGTGCAAGGCAAACGCCCTCCCCGCTGTGCTATTGCTCCAGCCCCTAAATTACTGAATTCTTATACTCAATTCCAGTCAGTTCCTTGCCTCCACTTTCCTCTCCTCCCTTTCTCCTTCCTTCCCTCCCCCTCACCTTCCTCCCTCCCAGAGTACATTGCTTAAATACATTCTCTTTATTATACGGTATTTGAAATAAAAGTTAAAAACTATTGCTATGCAGTACCAGCAATCGTTTTGATAATTGTAACGATACAGTACAAGCAAAAATGTAGGACTGTCCTGATGAAGTACACGTAGGACATATTTGTCTGTTACTGGCAGTTTTACTTTAGTACTGAAATCAACAAATTCATTTGGAACATGTAAGAAAATCAAGTGTCCATGCCTGTTCTTATTATTTCCTTCCACTTAAAAGAATTCTAAATACGAAGCAATTACCAATACCACAAAAATTCAATGTGGAAGTGAATTTCCTGGCCACAAAATTTCCGAAAAAGTATGATTCCAACGAATCTAAGACGTTGTTCTAACGCGGCATACGGATAATTCAGGGACAATCCTCAGCCACGTGGGAGAGGGTCTGGTTCTGCAGAGGGTAGTGCACGCAAGAACAGCTCACAGCACTATGCATCACACGTAAACCTTTGTGTTTTACACCCTAATTTACGTTGCATATATTGCCTATTGATCTACCGGTGTGTATGTTAAGGATGTGCTATCTGCGTCTGCAGCTGACCCTCAGGCCACTGGGTGGCGCTGTGGCTGTTTTGACCACCTTCAACAAAAGTGCAGGGAGAATTCCGGGCCGTGGTGGGCAGACAGTCTCCCAGTCTGTGGGTGTCTTTTAACTCTGGTCGGTGCAGAGCACCTTGGTCTGAAGGAGCCCCATGTGTTCATCTCCACAGCACTGACTCCGAGTCAATACTTGATAGATACTTGATAGAACGGGTCTGACAGGGAGGGCTTTAATCCATTTGACCTGACTATGGTGTGAGGCCTTAGAAAGGGGTCTGAGTGCGTTATTTTGCATAGGACCGGTCAGTCTTCCCAGAACCATTTGCTCAAGAGGCTTTCCTGGCTCCACTCCCTGTTTCTGCTCCTTCGTCGGAGCCTACAGAGACGCTGGGCTCTCCGTTCTACTTCCCTGGCCCAAGAGTCTGTCTGAAGTTGAGTCTGCCCAACACCCTCCCTGATTACTACCATGTTTGAGCACAATTTGAAGCTGGAAAGAGAAAGCCTCCCATCTTCTTCTTTTTCCGAATTGCTTCAGCTGTTTTGGAGAGGGCGATTGTGGTGGGGATTTATTCCAGGTAAGTTTCAACAGTGTCTGACCAGAATAAAAAGATACCCCACAGACGTGAAGAAAAAAATCTGTCCAACACTCATCTGACAAAGGGCTAATATCCAAGATGGAGAAAGCACTGGCAGGGCTTGACAAGGAAAAAAAAAATCAAATCAAAAAATGGGAGGAAGGATTGAACAGAAACTTCCTCAAGGATGAAAGACACACACGGCTAAAATGGTACAAGAAAAAAATGCTCTGTATCACTCATCCTCAGGGAAATGCAAATAAGAACCTGCAAGGTACCATTTTCCGACAGTCAGACAAGCATACATCATGAAAATCAAAAACCAACCAGCAGGCTGGAGGAATAGCACAGCGGGTAGTGCGTTTGCCTTGCACACAGCTAACCCGGGTTCGATTCCTAGCATCCCATATGGTCCCCCAAGCACCGCCAGGAGTAATTCCTGAGTGCAGAGCCAGAGGTAACCCCTGTGCATTTCTGGGTGTGACCCAAAGAGAAAAAAAAAACCAGCATGGGTGTGGTGTGGGGGAAAAGGGACCCTCATCCACAGTGGGTGGGATAGTGAGAGGCCCAGCCTTTTTGGAACGCAATATGGACACTTCTCAAAAAACTAGGAATTGGGGGCTAGAGCAATAGCCCAGTGGGTAGGGCGTTTGCCTTGCACGCGTCTGACCCGGGTTCAATTCCCAGCATCCCATATGGTCCCCCAAGCACCGCCAGGAACAATTCCTGAGTGCATAAGCCAAGAGAAACCCCTGTGCATTGCTGGGTGTGACCCAAAAAGCAAAAAAAAAAAGGTAAGGCAAAGGTAAAGGCCCTCCCGTTGATCATCGATTTGCTCGAGCGGGCCCAGTAACCTCTCCATTGGAGACTTTGTTGTTACTGTGTCTGGCATATCGAATACTCTCGGTAGCTTGCCGGGCTCTCCGGGAAAAAAAAAAAAAAAAAAACAACTAGGAATTGAGCTCCCATATGATTCAGCAATTCCTCTTCTTGCCATTTACTCCAAAGACCCAAAATCTCGATTCCAAAGAGACATCGCTACTAGGTTGCTTGCAGAACCATCAATAATAGCACAAATGAGGAAACTTGAGTGCTCAGGGAACTATGGTACAAATACACAGAGGAATACTCCCGGGCCCTAAGAAAAGAGGAAGCTGGGCTGGAGCGACAGCACGGTGGCTTGTGGCTTGGACATCTGCCTTGCATGTGGCCAATGTGGGTTCGATCCCAAGCCTCCCATACGGTCCCTCAAGTACCGCCAGGAGTGATTCCTGAGTGCAGAGCCAGGAGTAATCCTGAGCATCGCTGGGTGTGACCCAAAAAGAAAAAAAAAATCAAGTCACGTGGTTTTTTGCTACTTGGATGGATCTGGGAAGTACCATGCCAGGTGAAGTTAGAGGGAAGGTGACAGACACCAAATGATCTCCCCACCTGTAGGACGTAAAGGATAGAAAGAAATGGAGTAACTGCCCAAAGGCAACAGAGCCCGAGAAGGATTAGCAGAAAGCTCTGGGAGCAGCACTAAGCGGGAGGGGAGGGGACTCGGGTAGTGTGGGCAGTGTGGGGAGTGAAACTCTCCCACGGAACAGGACTGTAAGTCATGGTGCCTATGATAAAATAAAATCAAGGAAAAAGAAAAATTCCAGGTAGAAATGTGCTCTTTAAAGAAACAAAGGACAAAGGGCTGAAGAGATGGTACGGGAGATGAGGCACCGGCACGCCCGTGGTCCATGCTGGCATGGACTTAAACACCACCTACGGACTTCCACGCACAGCCGGGGGCTCCTAGTCACAACCCCAGTGGTGGCTGGATGTGGCAATTAAAAAAAAAAAAGATTAGGCTTTCAGACAATGGCCAAGCGTCCCCTTTCACTGCCAGAAGAGCAGAGAAGGGCAGTGGAAACTCACGGCACAGTGCTCTGGCACAGAGCCAGGCCCAGGCCCGGGTGAGTACCGGCCGCAGCTCTGCCCTCGGCACACAAGCAGGAGGGGAAGGACGCTGCTTCACACAGAAGCATCACCGGAAACTCGATGAATGGGAAAGCACCATCCATTTGAAATAAACACATCTGAAATTCAGAAAAAAATTCAAAGGGTTTGTAACCTTGACTACGAAAAACAACTGAGAGATACTAATTACCACCTTTTTGAAATGTTCTCAGAACTGGGGCGTGGGATGGATCTGTGTGAGCAGCGGTCAGCAGTGCCCAGGGCTGACTCCTGGCTCTGTGCTCAGGGCTGACTCCTGGCTCCGTGCTCAGGGCTGACTCTTGGCTCCGTGCTCAGGGCTAACACTTGGCTCCATGCTCAGGGCTGACTCTTGGCTCCGTGCTCAGGGCTGACTCCTGGCTCTGTGCTTGGGGCTGACTCCTGGCTCTGTGCTCAGGGATGACTCCTGGCTCTGTGCTCGGGGCTGACTCCTGGCTCTGTGCTCAGGGCTGACTCCTGGCTCTGTGCTCGGGGCTGAGTCGTGGCAGAGGTTCACGCATCCATAGCTGAAGCCGAGGATGGAACCCGGGCCAGCCACACACAAGGCGAGCATCTTACCTCTATACTGTATGTCTGGCTCCTGGAATTTTTTATGTTGATATTTATGCTAAAGTCTCCTACTCAGTACGACAACCTTCATAACTAGCAAGACACAACACTGCACAAAATGACGCTCAAACGGCGAGCACACAGATGCTCAGCGTCACTTGGGAGCCAAACTGTGACCACCTGAACGTTAAGCACAAGAGAACTAAGAGGCGAAACAGAACGAGGCTGGCGGAAGCAACCACACCGCTGTGAAGAGCGGCAGGGACACACGGGAACGCCCCTGGTGCACGCCCGCCGGCAAAGCCCTGGGGACGGTGGGGCCCGTCTGCTGGCAGCAGAGGCCTGGTTCCATGGTGCAGCTTTCATAGAAGCTCCAAAACGCTGTCCTTCTAGTGAACTGCATCACTCGCTGCCCCTGCAGAGCAGATGGTCTCGTCGGGGCTCCAGGGTGCCACGCGTGTTCCTACCTGGTCGATATTGAGGCGAAGCGGCATCAGGGACACGCGCAGGCAGCACTCCTGCGGGGACTCGCCGGACTCGGGCCGCACGTGCAAGGCTTTCACCGTCAACTGCCAGAGAAGAGAAGAACACCCTCACGTCTTGGCTGTCATTCCCAAAGGCAAGCCAGGGGAAAGGAAAGTCCAACTTCCTACTTCTATTTTCTATACTGAAACAAACACGGAGTTCCCTAACGGTTTGAGGGACACGTTCTACTCCTCCGGAATCTGATTAAAGACTCCTGATTCTCTTTAAATTCTCTGTAGGGGGGGACATGCAGGTTATCACGACCTGCTGAGCCTTGGAGCTAATCCGTAGGCTCGCAGTTTGAAAATAACTTCCATACAAGTGTGAGAAACTGGCAACACTTCCAACAACACTCAGTCTATTGTGTCCATCACTAGACTTCCTGTTTTCTCAGGTATCAACAAATCAACAGTTACAGTAAGCAGACCCTCTAACCAACAAGCAAAATCATTTTTTGTTCTGTTTTGCACGCCCGCCGGCAGTGCTCGAAGCTTATTCTTGGCTCTGCACTCAGGGGTCACTCCTGGCAGGCTTGGGGGACCTATCGGATGCCGGGATCCAACCTGAGTCAGCCGCATGCCAGGCGAGCTCCCTACTTGCTTTCTTACCACTCTGGCCCAACGTGCAAAATCATTTTGTAAACATAAAACTTTAAACAGCACACTGAAGAGGGATCTCTTGTCAAAATGAGAAAAGAGATCCAGTAACCTCCCCCAGTTCAAATTCTTTGCCAGTTCCCCATAAAGGAAGGTTCCCCCCCCCCCGACTAACACAAGGCATCCAAAGCTTCCCTCCCCTCGCACCATGTTGGAATGGGCCTTCCGAGGCATCTCTTTGCTGCAATACAGGTACAGAAACTTATTCATCTGCGACGTGGCCAGCCGGTCGCGGATCTCCAGGTCCTGCACGATGAACACCTGGCGGGAGACGGGGTGCTCCACGGGGCCGGGCTCCCCCTCGGGCCGGCACGGCGGGTACACCTCATGCTGGAACTTCACCTTCGAGGAGAGGGGACAGGCAGCTTGACGCCCACACGCTCCCTTTAAAACACAAACTAGCACGTATCTCTCTCTAGGAATTCTACCTCCGCCGAAGGGCCGAGGGAGACGCGACCTAACTGGAGCCTTCACTGTTTCCTCCGTCCTCGGGCACCCGAGGGCCAACCTGAGCGATATTTCTCACCTGACCTGTCACATTCCTTCTCCTTGCAGCAAGTGCCCTCAGCAAGAGGAAGATATCCTATCTCGCCTCGCTATTAAACTGCCTGCAAACAAATCCATAGAGTCAGGGTCCCGGTTCCAAAACGGGCCAGAGATCTAAGCAAACAAATGAAACCGCCACCTCTATGTTGAGTGCCCTACTCCGTGGGGCTGGCCTAACTTGGGACGAGCTACAAGAGCTGGATGCGGATGATGTCCACGGGGGCTGGGATCATGGGACACAGCCCCCCTGGACATCTTTTGGCGCTCGCCAAACCTGGTCCAGGGAGAGGCAGGCCACGCCCCCTGACGCTGCCACTGTCTAGAAAGAAGCCACAGACTCAGGCTCCCGAGGGGAGCGAGGGGCCACGCCGCCCGCCGACGCCCCCTTCTCTGCGGAGGATCTGCCCTCCTGAAGCGCCGTCTTACCTTGCTCAGCTGGATTTCCATCAGGAAGTCGGGGTTTCTGCCCTTCCCCCCACAGGCCTGACTCCGTCCGTGTCTTGTGGGGGTGTGAGAAGGAGAACTGTGGGGACTGCTGTCAATGGAGGGAGAGCTTTCGTCAGCGTGCTTTTCAGAGAAAAACCATCAACGACCTCAGGACCGAGATGAAAAGAGACAGCCAATTTCCAATCCGATGGCTACATTTCCACAAGTTGTATGGCTTCTATTCAAAACCCCAGATTTCCACCCTCTGGAGAGAGGGAGAGTGCGAATGCTGCCATTAGGGCGACCAGCTGCTTGCGAAAGGGACCCCTACATGCTGATCTGATCACGGGACTCAGAAATGAAGCCTCCTCATCACTTCAAAACCCTTTGCAGAATACAAGTCCTAGACATTCGAGTTAAGACAGCAACGAATTACAACTGAGTTAAAGGAGTTTCCAAACTCTCCCATGAAGAGAGAAGGGGTTTCATCTATGCAACGCTGTGCCCAAAGGAACGACTCCATGAAGGCTGTCCTGGCCCCGCGACCCAGAGGTCTGCCCACCCTGGAAGGGCTCTGCCTGCCCACCAAGGCTACCTGCTCCTGCAGGGTGCTGGGGGCAAGGGCACAGGGCGCCTCCTGGCTCACGTGGCCCGTGGCTGCCTTGTGATGACAGGGCAGGGCCCGGCCGGGGCCTCTTCCTTTTAGTGACCAAGCGTGGACACAGGCTCTCACCCAGAGGCTACCAAAACTTTCTCTGAGTAAGAGGTCACTAAGGCACCGTTTCAATAAAGATACAAGGCACACTGGTTCTCTAGTAGAAAACTCTGACTGTAATATTTAAATAACAGCTTAAAATTTTTTTTTTGGAGAGGGAGGTCACTCCTGGCTCTGCGCTCAGGAATTACTCCTGGCGGTGCTCAGGGGACCATATGGGATGCTGGGAATCGAACCTGGGTCGGCCGCGTGCAAGGCAAACGCCCTACCCGCTGTGCTATCTCTCCAGCCCCAAATATTACTTTATTAATATTCTTGAATGAATAAAGTGCTCAGCATTCTTCTGTATAACCCATCAGCTTGCCCAACAAATTTAGATGAAAATTCACTTACATGTAACTTTTAGCTGGAGAGGGAGGAGGAACTGTTCCAAAATCTTTGCCACCATAGAGATGCCAAACGAGAGAGACTTCCTTAACGACATAACGGACAACAGGAACAGGGAAGTGCAGCGGGGCCTTGCTTGTATCTGTCTTTTTAACCGGCAGACTGAAATAATTATCTTTGATCACAATAGCATCGTCAACCATTATTTTCACAATTGGCTCTTCTTCCTTCTCCTAAAATAAAAAGCAGGTACCATAAGACCACTGAGGGTGAGAATCATCTCAAGAGGATTTCTTGTTGCTCTATTCCTTGATTTTTAACGAGTTTAATATGAAAAATAAGAGAATTACTAACATTATCATATAGATATTCCTTCTGAGTAATCATAAAACAGACTTTAATCTCTGCAAATCACCCATGAGGATTTTTTTGTAGTTTAAAAGGCTTCTACTATTTGCATAATAATAAAAGCTATGAACTGTGTGTGGTGGGGGGAATACAATTCTGTGTTTGTATTTATTTACTTCCAAGTTAATACTGCATTTCCACACCTGATGTTTCAATATACTGACCAAACTGCCTGTCCCTGATAGGCTACCTCAACCTATTCTGTTACTACGGGGCACTTAGTAACAAACAAACATTTACTTTATTTTATTTTGCTTTTTGGGTCACACCCGGCGATGCACAGGGGTTACTCCTGGCTCTGCACTCAGGAATTACTCCTGGTGGTGCTCAAGGGACCATATGGGATGCTGGGAATTGAACCCAAGTCGGCCTCGTGCAAGGCAAATGCCCTCCCCGCTGTGCTATCGCTCTCACCCTACATACAAACATTTAAATGGTAAAATAGATTGTGTATTTATTTTACACTGATAATTCATAGATTGCATACTTATTTTACTAAGTTCAATATTTAATATTTTTTATATTTTTAATTTTTTAAATGCAGATGATTGATTCATAGGTTCAATTCTAACATCACTTATGCACTTATGAATTGTGAGTTCATGAAATCCAGACTATATTTTGATCTGTGAGCATAAGTCTCAAACAGAATTTCCACGTATCACAAAATCCTCAGCCTTCACAGCGACACATCTCCCCCAGCTCTAGGCTGCGTGACACCGAGGACCCTTCTTCCTGCCACTGCATGTCACTGCCCTGTGAGATCTGTGCCAACCACGGTTACAGTTCAGTGACCCAGGCAGGGAATTCTGCAAATCCAGAATATTCTTCTTAAATCTGAGAGGAATAACAAACATTTCCAAAGCATCAACAGTCAATTATAGGGGCTGGAGCGATAGCACAGTAGGGAAGGCGTTTGCCTTGCATGCGGCAGACCCGAGTTCGATTCCCAGCATCCGATATGTTCCCCCGAGCACCGCCAGGAGTAATTCCTGAGTGCAGAGCCAGGAGTAACCCGTGTGCATTGCAGGGTGTGACCCAAAAAGCGGGGGCGGGGAGGGGAAACCACCTCAATTATAAAGGTAAAGGCCCTCCCGTTGATCGTCGATTTGCTCGAGCGGGCCCAGTAACGTCTCCACTGGAGACTTTGTTGTTACTGTGTCTGGCATATCGAATACTCTCGGTAGCTTGCCGGGCTCTCCGAGAGGGGCGGAGGAATCGAACTCGGGTCGGCCATGTTGGCTGCTTGTAAGGCGAACGCCCTACCCGCTGTGCTATCACTCGTGATAGCACCTCAATTATAAACCAAAATATTTTTGAGCTGCAAAGGAAATTAACCTCGCCGGAGTCCCTTGGAGGGGAGCAGGTTGAGCTTTCCTCCCCGCCCCGACCAGGGCTCCGGCAGCCGAAGACCTCCAGGACCAGCCACCACCATGCTGAGACCACTCTCCGCACACATGAAGGTACTGGCAGAGGGTCAAAGTCACTCAGGCTCTGGGGCCGAGATCTCCAAGCCTACTCGGATTTGGGCCAAGTATCCTCCACCCAGATCCTCCAAATTCCGTAGGCAGGGGTCACACCCACCAACTGGCCCCCTGGCGCCGTGTAATCCCATCAACGGCCAAGACTCAGAGACTATAAAATCCAGCTCCCCGAACCGCGCTGCCGCAAATTAACCTCGCCGGGGTCCCTTGGAGGGGAGCGGGTTGAGCTTTCCTCCCCGCCCCGACCAGGGCTCCGGCAGCCAAAGACCTCCAGGACCAGCCACCACCATGCTGAGACATCTTATCAGGACATCTTTTTATGACACCTTATTATCTCATTCCTACTTTGGACAAACTTGCAGGCTATCTAATGTAGCCTGCCCACAGGGCAGAGTCTGGCAAATTCCCCGTGGCATACCCAATATGCCAAATACCAGTAACAATGATGGGTCTCATTCTCCTAAAGAGCCTTGAATATAATCTCAGGGCTAGGATGAAAGAGACCTTACTGGGGCCTGCTCCAGGCAATCGACGAATAACAGGATGATGAATGAATGAATGAATGAAAGAACTTCAAGTGTCCTTTGGCCAATCTGTAACATTATCTGAAGGCCTCAATAATGACATCAAGTCCTTACCTGTACTGCTGCCTTGGGTGCAAAAAGAATGCAGAAGTCGTCATTCTCTGTGGGTACGAGTGTCATGGTGTCACTGATCATGTGGTGAGGGACGGAGGCGTAGGTGGGGCCGGGCTCCTGGGACACGCTCCCACTCTCGTCGGGGAAGAGGAAGAGGTCTGAGCAGCAGGGCTCCTGCGCCTGGGAGCTCCCCTCCACAGCCCCTGGGGAAAGACCACCACATTAGGCCCTGCCACACACACGCACGCCAAACCGCACCAAGCGCCCTCAGCACTTCCTGGCCTCGCGATGACACACGTCAGATACATACGAAGCTAAATGCGTCCAACTCACAATCGCTCCCTGATATCTTATATAAGAGCCTTTGACTCCTCGTCAAAACAGCTGCTATAAATTTGCGGGTCTCTGGGAAAACAGCACGTGTAGCTTCACAGAATGACAGGCAGCCTCTCAGCAGGTCTTTGGTGAAAGGGAACCCTGGGGAATCCTCAGAAGACGTTCCTACTGACCAGAGCCGTGCTTCGGCCGGAATGTCAAACTGACACTGAGTCCCACGGGGAGAACTGGGGGCCCTCACACACGGCAGCCACTGAGCGACACACTGGGCCCTGGGCCCCTACTGCAAGGAGAGGAAACCTCTTGACACCTGGCAGTGCCCTGCCTACCAAGACAGGCCACGTCTGCTTGCAGATACAGGCAGTGAGGAAGCACTCGCTGCCCATCTCTGCAGTGGGAGGAGGGACCCAATCCCACACAACAAAACCAAAAAGGCCACTACTTGGGGTTCTGCCTACATGGGGACCCGGGACGCGGCTCAGAGAGGAAGCCCTGTCTCAGGGCCACCCCACCACACCCAGAAGCCCAGGGAGCCCCTCCACACCGTTTACCAAGTAAGTGGATGCGAACACACGCCTGAATATGTTCATTGCACACGTTAGACCACTGTTTTTTTCACTGTGCCCTCATCAAACCAGACGCTCTACCATGGGCGGAGGACACTAAGCTGAATCAGGCGGCACTGAGCTAGCTTGCTCTCAAGAGGCTCACTGAATAGCCTCTGCTGTTGGGGGCTTTTGTTTTGTTTGCTTCAGGGCCGTACTTGGGAATGCTCAGGGCTTTCTCCTGGCTCTGCACTAAGGAATCACTGCTGGCGGGGCTCAGGGGACCAGCTGTGGTGTTGGGGATGGAACCCAGGTCAGCCACATGCAAGGCAAATGCCCTTCCCGTTGTACTACCGCTCTGGCACCCCTCAAGGGATTTTAATTCTTCTACGGCAGTGCCTCGGTCAAACTCAGCCTTCTAAATGCCTCGTACAGAAACCTATACGTTAAAGCTGCTCAGCAAACAGTCACTAAACACTCCTCTTCTCATCTTAACCGTGAATATTACAAAGAATGGATGTAGGAAGTTAAAAGTTCCCATTTGCCTCCTCAGCTCAGTGTGATTTTATATTACAACGAAAACATTTAAAGTCAAACTTCTCTAACACCATCATTGTGTGAACCACACCCTATGGTAATCAGGGCTACCCTGAGCTGGGAACACTTGGCTCTAACCTCCAGGGTCACTAGGGAACAGTGACAATGACTGAGGTTTCACGACAGGCCGGAAAGATCCCTCAATGGGCTGAGCACATGCCACACATGCAGGGGGCCTGGGTTCAATTCCCAGTGCTACATGGCCCCCCAAACACCCCTGGGAGCGACCTCCCAGCACAGAGCTGGGAGTAGGCCCCAAGTACCACTGGGTATGGCCCCCCAATTTTTTAAATTCATAATATATAGAAATATCCATGTTTATCCAAGTGGGAAAACAAAAAAATTTAATAGATCAATTCCCAAACATTTAGATGACTGACTTAGGCGTCAGGACTTTCTGGTTCCTGTTGACTCGGCTTTAACCAAATATTACTTCTGGAAGCTTTTACAAAGAGCTGTGACTTTTATCCCAGTCACCACCAGGGCTGGCAGGTAATCAGGGCTCCTGCCAGTCACGGTGCTTCTCCTGACGTGAATGACCCGACAGGAATTCCATCCCATCCTCCACGCACCTAAATTCTATCCACTTCTACGTGCTGGGGACCAAAATCAGAACCTCACACCTGTCAGGCAAGCCCTATACTGCTAAGTTATACATCCCCAGTCCCGGCTCCACTTTTAAAATATCTTTTAAAAAGTACGATTTTTAAAATATCCTTCACTAAAGTCTAATAAAATCCAACTTTCCTGAACAGTGAAATGTACAGAACGTTCTAAGTGTCGCTTCTCAATCTAGGTACTAGGACCAGTCTGGTTTTGTGCCAGTTTGCTTTACTAAACGAAAAGGCACAAGGAAACCAAAGTCCCTCACACGCCCTGACGCGATCTTCACCTGCTGAATGCCCAATGCCAACTATGTGTTAATAATCACATGATCACTTGACTTCCCGTTAATCGGCGATTTGCTTGAGCGGGCGCCAGTAACGTCTCCATTTCCCCCCTGTCGCTTGCTAGTGTAGCCCAATGGCGTCTGTGCGATAATAAATGCCCACCCAAACTCAGACTTGCTTGTTCTCTGAAGAACTGCTTGGGGGGAGTTTCCAAGCGCACAGAGGAAGCCTCCCTCTCAGCACCAGCACTTCCGGGACACGGGTCCTGACCTGTGTCGCCACTGGGCTGTGGCTTCGCAGAAGCGGCCTGCTGCGTGTCAATCTCCTCCATGGCATCACTCATCAGGTCTCGTAAAATCTGCTGGTCAGCTTCAGGAAGCACGGGACCCCGGGAGGACGTCCGACCGCTGGAATCTACCTACAGCCAAAACCCTTCATTAAAAATAACTGAAAATGCACCAAGAAGCAAACCGATACTGATTTTGTCCTAGAAACACGACACTTTACAAAAACATCAGAAAAAGGAACATAGGTCTTTCTGCTTAGCGGCTATTATGCTTGCACTTTAAACCTTTAACACCGTCATTATCACCCTAACAACCACTAGCAAATGAAAGTAAGCGTGTGTCTGCCTGAGAGCCAGCACAACGACCTGGGATCTGGGAGAGGCAGCATAGGCCAGGCCAAGAAAGGAATAGTGAGAAGTAACTGCAGTGAAGTGGGGGGAGAAAGAACGACTAAGTTGAATCTGCTCAACTCTAAAATCTATTTAAAGAACTGTGTTTTATAGCGGATGGAGAAATAGCATAGCAGGTAGGGCGTCTGCCTTGCACACGGCCGACCTGGGTTTGAGTCCCAGCATCCCATATGGTCCCCTGAGCACTGCAGGAGTGCAGAGCTAGAAGTAACCCCTGTGCACCGCCGGGTGTGACCCAAAAGAAAAAGAAAAAAAAGAACTGTGTTTTACAAAGTTGACAGTTGGGTCTCAAATGTGCAATATTCCAGCCCCATCCCACCTCCCGTGTCTACGTCCCCACAGCAGGGCTCCCCTGCTCTCGCCCGCCCCAAAGCCTGATTTCTAGAAATGACGACTGAAGACCACAGGGCGACACACAGAAGGGAAAGGCCACTGACGGGACCATGCGCTTTACTCTCGGGCTGCTGCCTGGCCTTTCGGTTCGGGAACTGGGAACAGATTTTAAACTATCTTAACTTTCAATGAACGGAAGAACGTTTTTAAAAGAATGATCAAGAGGGAGTGTCATAAATGCCTTCATTCAGTGAGACCCTAGAAGGAGCAAGGAATTAAGAAAAAAAGCACAACGCAAATTCGATAATGTGGGAGCACGACTACTGCAAGGCCTGCCAGGGTCCGAGAGAGCCGTCGCCTCAGGACCTAGAGGACCCTGAGGAAGGGAAACCCCGACAAAGAGAAAAGCCCCACAGCACAGATGCGCTCAATCCAGAGAGAAAAGCGGGCTGCGCGGTGACACTGAACTGGAAATCAAAATCTCTGGATTCTGGTGCCATTTTTACTCATTAGGACAAACTGTCTAAACCCTCTGGGCCTTAACTTTGCTTTTCTTTAGCTACTCTGACTTATGCAGTTATTTAAAACAGAGTCTCAGACACTTAATGCTCCAACTCCAAACCTCCACCCCCATATTGGCATCCCTGCACCTGTGAGCCCAGCTTCCCACCCTCTCCCCAGACCTCAGCAAACTCTTTTTTTTGTTTGTTTGTTTTCTTTGATGTCTCACACGGCGATGCTCAGGAGTTACTCCTGGCTCTGCACTCAGGAATTACTCCTGGCGGTGCTCAGGGGACCATATGGGATGCTGGGAATCGAACCTAGGTCGGTCGCGTGCAAGGCAAACGCCCTACCCGCTGTGCTATTGCTCCAGACCTCAGCAAACTCTTTTTTGATTTCATAATTTACTTATTATAGTTTGGATCGCATGCTTATGCTAGTATTGATTTATGGTTTTGAAACATTTCAGGGGTGCAGGTGGAAACTTAAACTACCTATTTAAAAAAAAATGTCTGTGCCCTCTCTACTGCATGACTGGTAACAAAAAAGATAATATTGCATCCACGTTTTCAGGTAATAATGTTACCCTTTGCCTCACACCCTCCCAAAGTAGTTCTGCATGTAACTTGGACATAAGAAATTCTTGGGACTGGACTGCTAAGTAGGCAGGCGCTCGATTACACGCAACCAACCCAGGTTCACTCCCCAGCGTCCCACAGGGCTGCCCAAGCCCACCAGGAGTGATCCCAGAGTGCAGACAGGAGTAAACCCTGAGCACCACTGGGTGTGGCCCAATCGCAAAACAAACCAAAACAAAAATATGTTCTTACATGATATATGTTTATTTCTTTTGGGAGAAAATAAAAGTTGGAGAAATCATGTTGACTGAGAAGCTTAATGCTCTCAAACAACGAATTTCCAACAGTAGGTAGAAAGGTTTTCCCAAAAGGGGCAGAGAATCACCTTTCCAGTTCCAGTCCTCCTAGACGTAAGGATGGACACAGGATTTTGCTACCTTCTGGCTGCTGGGAAAAGGACCTCGTGGGATCACAGCCCGCGCACCGTGGGAGGGGGAAGCAGTCCTGACCCCGACAGGGCCCACTGTACCTTCGCCTTCCGTGGAGGCGCTCCGGGCTTCACGTCCGCCCTGCCGGCTGCATTGAGGTCCCCGTAGCTCGCGATGTACTGAATGAGATTCATCAAGGCAGCACAAGAGTCTGAACAAGTCCTGATGTGGACACTGTCGCTGGAGCAGTGTAACTCAAAGCGAGGCTCCGTCTAGAGGACGCAGGGAAGAAAGAAGGAACAAAAACCTTTTTCCAAAAGGAACAAAAGCCCTCCTCTGTATGGCCGCAAAGCTGTCTCTTCTGCACATTCTGAATAAACATGATACGATTACTTTCCTTGCTTCAGGAGGTATTTGTACCTCATATTATTTATTTTTGAACAGTACCAGGGCTCACACCCAGAATTATGCATGGTGCAAATGAGCCAACTGTGCAGCCTCACTCAACATTTTTTTGGGGGGGGGGTCAATCTGGTGATGCACAGGGGTTACTCCTGGCTCTGCACTCAGGAATTACTCCTGGCGGTACTCGGGGGGACCATATGGGATGCTGGGAATCGAACCCGGGTGGGCCATGTGCAAGGCAAATGCCCCCCCCCATGGTATCGCTCCAGCCCCCTCACTCAACTTTTAAATATATTATTGATTTGTGAAATTCGGAAAAAGTGGAAAAATAATTTTATAGTAAACTCAACAGACTGATATTTAAGTCTTTCAACACATAGGACTTAAAAAATGTTTCATTATTTTAATAACTTACCTGCTCTCCATCATCAGAATCTGATTTCACTGCAGTTATAGTTAATTCCAAAAGTCCCATATCCATCACACGAACATAATCTGAAATTTTAGAAAGACGTGTCTTAGTATAGCTTTCAAAAAGTTTGCACGACCAACAATAAACTAGTATTTTTTCAAATCAATAGTAAATAATACTGAAAATATTTATAATGCGGTGGAAATAAAGTTTCAACCTTAAAAATAAAAAACCCACAATTCACTTTATTTTTATTTGAGACAAAATTTGCCTTATATCAGACACCTTACATTAAACATAATATATAAAAACTTGATGCAATTAACTGATGCCAGGACATCTAAATTTCAAAGATGTATTTAATAAGATCTTGAGTGCACTGGCATTAAACCAGAGTTAAAATGCTTAAAAGTTCTGGCACACAGGGCAGAGAGACAGTGCACCAAACTGAGTCACATTCTGCACGTGAGGACCAGGCTCAGTCTCTGGTACCACGTGATACACTGAATCATACCAGGAATCAACCTTCGGCACAGAGCCAGGAGTAGCTCTCAAGCTGCTCCGACCTACTGTGACCCCCAAACAAAACAGACAAAATACACACGCACAAAACAGACACAATTAGTCTATCCCAGTGTTTAACTCCTACCTCTATTTAAATTTACAGTGACCGTATTACACTTGTCAGACAGATGTAAGGCAGCTTCATCCAAGATTATTCTGAGAAAACGATAAAATCATCAGCAAACAATCCTCAAATATAGACCACATAATCACTGTATAGTTGATTATTACTTTCTGCCCAAATTGACAATGTTTAAATTATGGGGAAAAAAAAGAAGTGTAGTAAGTACTGCTAGAATTAAATATAAATTCTATGCTTAAAAAGTCAAGTAGGGGCTGGAGGAATAGCACAGCGGGTAGGGCGTTTGCCTTGCACGCAGAGGACCTAGGTTCAATTCCCAGCATCCCATATGGTCCCCCGAGAACCGCCAGGAGTAATTCCTGAATGCATGAACCAGGATTAACTCCTGTGCATGGCCGGGTGTGACCCAAAAAGCAAAAAAAAAAAAAAAAAAAAAGTCAAGTAAGGACTCGCGAGACAGCACAGGAATCAGGGGCTTGTCAGACAGGTGGCCAGCTCAGGTTTGATCCCTGGCACTGCAGATGGTTCCCTATTCTCCCCCACCCCCCGTCCGCCCTCAGCACTGCCAGGAAGAATTCCTGAGCACAGAGTCAGAAGGAAGCCCTGTACATAACAGGGTGTGGGTCCCCAAACCAAATAAACAAAAAAGCAAGAGCCACAAGGATCAGTTTCTTCCCTAAAATGAAATACAGTAAGTCTCAGAATAGATGGGCTACGTCATAGGAAAGTCAGGCTAGAGAAATAGTACGGCAGGGAGGCTGTTTGCCTTGCACACAGCTGACTTGGGTTCGATCCCCAGAACCCCAGGATGATCCCGCAAGCACAAAGTCCAGGAGTAAGTCCTGGGCACAGAGGCCAAGAGTAAGCCCTGAGAACTGCCAGGTGTGGCTGAAAAACAAAAGTAAAATTGAGTGATTTGAGGGACCCAACTATTAGTAAAAGGATATTGATTTTAGGGTATGGACAGGGAGTGCAGCAGGCAGGACACTTGACTTGTGTGCTGCCCACCCAGACTTGATCCCCAGAACCCCGTATACCCACCCCACCCCTCCCCCCCTACCAGGATTGATCCCTGAGCGCAGAGGGAGCCCTAAGCCCTGAGCACCAACAAGTGTGGTCCCAAAACAAAACGAAATGAAGAAGACTGAATTATAATTTTTTAAAAACAGGACTGTGACATCAATCTAATGGTTTATATGGATACCATTAATATGTTCTGGGCAGCGACATTAGTACGTACAGGCAGATACAAACATACCTGAGAGTAGAAGAAGATTTGTCCAAGGCAACACTACTAGAAACGCTGAATGTTTCAACAGTAAGAAGGGATCGGATTGGCAAGTAAAGGGGCCTAACACCAAAAAGAAACAGCACATCAGTCAATGCAAGAAAGAAATCCTTTATTATTCTTCTCTTTAAAAAGTCTTTAAATCGTTTAGAATTCCTGGGGCGTGTGACTACAAATGCGTCCATGCAACCTCTTACACTCTACACCACGGATGCACCAGAAGGAGCACACGCTGGATAGGATGCAAGACGGAAGGCATCATATCTCAATTAAAAAAATATCAGCACACAAGACTCAACCTGTAACAACAGGTTAGTAATTAATCTCTTACAGAAGGGCTCAATGGCTGCAGAATCAGATACAGCAATTCTTCACACACTTTCTTCTAAGGAAATCTTTTTTTGGTCACTTTTAGAGAATTATTCATAACAATACAAAGTAAATTATTTAGGGCCTGTTATGGGGGCAGGCTCGGGAGGAGACTGGAAAAAATTCGAAATAATGCTGGTGGGTAAGGTGTAATGGTGGTGGGATTGGTGTTGGAATGCTGAATGTAAGAAATTATTATGGAGACTCTTATCACGGTCCTCCCGTTGTTCATCGATTTGCTCGAGCGGGCCCAGTAACGTCTCTATCATGAGACTTGTTGTTACTGTGTTTGGCATATCGAGTACGTCACGGGGAGCTTGCCAGGCTCTGCTGTGAGGGCGAGATACTCGGTAGCTTGCCGGGCTCTCCGAGAGGGGCGGAGGAATCGAACCCGGCTCGACCGGGTTAACTGTGCGCAAGGCAAACGCCCTACCGCTCTGCTATCGCTCCAGCCCGGAGACTCTTATAAAAATAAAATTTAGGGGCTGGAGTGATAGCACAGCAGGTAGCGCGTTTGCCTTGCACGCAGCCGACCCGGGTTCGATTCCCAGCATCCCATATGGTCCCCTGAGCACTGCCAGGTGTAATTCCTGAGTGCAGAGCCAGGAGGAACCCCTGTGCATCGCCAGGTGTGACCCAAAAAGCCAAACAAACAAATAAATAAATATAAAATTTAATTTTAAAACGTTTTAAAATCTATTTTTAATTAAAGAATTGTGACTGACAACAGTACTGAGGTTAGTTTTGGGCAGACAATATTTCAACACCAATCCACCAGTGTCGCCTTCCCTCCACCAGGGTCCCCATATTCCCTCCCCACACACCTCATCCCCCACCTGTCTGTCACCTGGACAGGCACATTGCAAAGCTCCAGTGGCTGCAGCTTTAGATCTCCTGTTTTCAGCATCGCTGAATCTGTGTCCTGGATCTATGAACTATTTATCACTCACCCATATCACCAAGCCTGAGCCCTGTTCACCCATTACACCTCCTTCTCCTCCACCCCTCGTGGTTCCTTTCCTTCTCTGTCCTCCTTCCTCTTTCCCAGACTTCCTCTGGGGTCCCTTGATGCCGAGCACTCCCCCCTCACCCCCTCACACATCACATTTCCTCGTCCAGTTATTCTCTGTGCCACATATAAGTGAGATCACCCTGTGTTTGTCTAAGACAGAAATCCTTTAGAAAGAGCATTTTGAACTGTAACTCTACTGATCTATGTATCTTTCCAAACCTTAATATACGTTTTAAATAAATAAAACTTTATTATGTTGCTCCACTTGTGAACTAACCTGTAATCCAGAGCACAGCTCCAGAGATGAACGTGAAACGTTGTGAATGAAGTCGGAGGGCTGTATCCCAGGACAGGTTCATCAGCAATATTCAAGAAGTATAAAATCTATAATCACAAAAATATAAAATGCCCTGCTTTAGAAGAAAAAAAAAGTTTTGATATAATACCAATAGAAAGCAAAATATCTCACAGAAAAAAAGCAACTCTTTCCTGGGAAATTATAATACGAAAGGAAAAAAATCACCTTAAAGGAATTAATTTCAAATAATATTTGCAAAACTAGAATCTGAAATAAAGAAGTCCATCCAACAACGGCAAGGCTACAAAAAGCTCAGAAAAAAAATCATATAAATTTAACAAAGTAGGCATATTTTTACATTATTTTGCTAGGAACAATTCTTGAAAATAACAAATTTTGCTACAGACGACGCAAGCCAGCCTTGTAGTTTTCTCTGTGATTCACTGCTGGGAGAAGCTCCCATCCCTTCTCTGATAACAACCTCAGGCCTCCTCCCCGGAATGAATTGTCCTGTTTCCAGCATAAGCAAGTAAGCAGGGCTGGGAGCTAACGCAATAGAATAGAGCATGTGTTCGCATTCAGGAGCCCCAGGTCTGACCCGACAGGACATGGTGCCCTGAGCAGTGTCAGGAGTGAACCCCAAGCACTGAGCCAGTGGTGATCCCTGAAGAACACCAGGATGGCCCCAAATCAAAAAACGAGAAAATACAAAATAAAATGTACCGATATAAGAGCAAATCTGGAGCTTGGACTAAATCTCTCCCTTATTGCCAGTTCAGTGTTCATGTAACATATCATCTCTCTGAATTTTAAATATACACATATATACAACATACATGCACAAAAATGAGAGACTTCATATTTCCTACATGCTTTTATGGAACAAAAGCTTTGCTCTAAAATGCTTAGTACCCAGACTTAAAATGCAAAAGCCAATTCCATCCTGGGGTGGCGAATGCGTGCTTCTGACTGAAGAGGTGTATACAGCAGGCTGTCTGTGCCCGCGAGCTCGGTGAGAGCACAACTTGGGTGTGTGCACTTTCCCATGTGTCTCTGTCCAGACCAGTCCGGGGACTGCGCCTCCTACCTGCTCGTGCCAGCTGAGCCCGGAAGGCAGCACTCTGTGCTGGAGAGTGGCTCCTTTCAGCCCGACGGCAATCAGGAACTCCTAGGCAGAAATCAACACAAAGAATGCATATATCACCCAACTAATCCCGTAATTCAACACGTGAAATGTTTTTCTAAGAAAATTAACAAGATGCTTTTAACATAATTCTTTTTTAGCTAGGCATCAAATCAACAGCAGGTACTTAAAGTGACATTAAAAAAAAAATGAACCTTGGTGTTGGACTCTGATTTATCAGATATTATTTTAACTGCAACAGAGAGCATGTTTGAAGACTCTCCTCCGACCCCATCTGAAGAGGTTCGACTGACACCATCTTCCTCAGAGGAATAAATGGTAGGTTCCAGCCAATGAGGGCGGGCCACACTGGGCAGACGTGTTTCCGTAGGAAGAATCACTCCATCCACGATGCCTACAACAACCACATGAAAATGAAAAGACAACAAAATCACTTGGCATCAGCCCAAGCCTTCTGGAACTCCAGACAAATGTCCACAAATTTCCAATGATCATAACAAGATTCTGGAGGTAACAAACCAAAAATCATTTGGGCGTTAAGAACCCATGTCTTTCTAATGTTGGCATGACTGAGAGCACCCAACTTAAAACTAAGATTTTAAATGCTAGAAAATAATAATTAAGCAGAAAAAGAAATGAACAGTATGGCAAACCATGGTATCTAAATAATCACGGTCACACAGTCCTCCCATTGTTCATTGATTTGCTCGAGTGGGCCCAGTAACGTCTCCATTGGAGACTTTTGTTGTTACTGTGTTTGAATACGTCATGGGTAGCTTGCCAGGCTCTGCCGAGATAAAATAATAACAGTAAAGAATTGTCTTGCATGCAGCCTACCCTGATTCAGTCCCCAGCACCACCTACGGCTCCCCAAGCAATGTCAGGGGTCATTCCTGAGCAGAGTCAGGAATAGCCCCTGAGTACTGCTGAGAGTGGCCCAAATCCCCACCCCCTGAAAAATAGTCAAACCAATGGAAGAAGCCAGTTGCAAAAGTCTATCGTATGATTCCATTTGTGTGAAACAAAACATCCTGAATATGCAAATCCATGAAGATAGGAAGATGACTGAGGGGTGAATTAGAGCTAAGGGGCACAGAGTTTCTCTGGAGGTGATGAAAAGGATCTGAAGTTGATTACAATGATAGCTGCACAACTCTGTAAAAACAGTAACCACTGCTGAAACATTTTTCAAATGGATGAACTGTATGACATAAGGACTGCATCAATAAAGTTGTAGTAAAAAAAAAATACAATGAAGTTCAATATCTAAATTACTGTTAGGTATTACACTGCCAGCGGAACTGCAGGAAATGATTCTGAAATAGCTCGGTTCTCAACGTTTCTTACTAAATAAAGTCAGTGTGCCGGACACAAACATTCCACACTTGTCCTACCTTTGTGGTACAGACTGAAACTGCTGGTGTGGAGACAGATGTAGTGCTTGTCATCAAAACCCTCATAGTTCGTCACACAAAACAAGGAGCCGCCACTGAATTCTAACCAGAATTCACCGTGCTTGTTTTCCAGCAGATCTCCATTTTCTTGCTAGTCGAAAGATCAGAAAAACAGCTGTTATTGCCATGATGCTGAGGAAGCTTTCCAGGTAGGCGTGTCTGGGCTGAGAACTCGGGGGCCACTCAGAACGGGGGTGGGCAGCATTTCGTTTCTGCCTGAAGGCACAGCAGCCCACAGCTATACACCCGATAGCCACTACCTTAGAAAGGGCCCAGTGCCACAGCTGAGCCTTATCAAACTGCCAAGCCACCAAATGGGGCCAGCTCCATTGCTCCTGGACTGTGTGGCCACAAATGCAGGCATGTGACACCTCCAAATTTCATAGTAGTGTCAGTCCCGTAGGATCACAGCAAATCAGATGGGTAAATGGCACAGAAGAGCACCAAGATCAATGAGAGAAAACAGTAGCACAGAAGGCTCAACTAGTACTAATCAGCCCAGTAGATCCTCAATGACTTTATAAACCACTGGAAGATACAACAATGATCACAAACTGACTAATTGATCTAAATTTTGATAATTCCATTTGCCTTTATGCTATAACAAGCAATATGAAGTAAATTTGTTTGTGCCTTCAAGGGAGCAGGCTGAGGTGGTGGTTGAGCAACTGGAACTTGGTGGAGGAAGATCACACTGGTGCTGGGATTAGTGCTGGAACATTTAATGCCTGAAACAACTGCATTAGGGACAACCTGGTCAATCACGGTTTACAATGAAAAAAATGTAAGAGTCATTATTTAAGTAACTGTGCGAGAGGATGCCCCTTCTGGATGTCTCTAAGTAAGTGGGTGTGTGGTCTGAACCACGCAACCTGTTTGAACTAAGACTATTCCTCCTGGCCCGGGAGATGGCTCAGTGGCTCCAAGTGGCTGCCTCATAAGTGTGAGGCCGTGAGCCAGACTTCTAGCAGAAATTTCTAGTGTGCCACATATGACCCTGGCGGCATCACAGTGTGGGACTCCCAGTACTGCCCAGACCGCAGGACTCTCAGTGAGCACCACAACCACATGGAGTTCCTGGTCTTCACAATAGCAACCAAGGGAAGGTGGGGTGGGGGGGCTGCACTGTTCACTGCTATGTGGGGATCACTTCTGCCACAGAAATTCCCATGCTTCATTCTCCTTCGGACCAAAGAAATCACTAGTCGACACATCAGCAATGAAACCAGCTCGTTTTCCAAAAGGAAGTACACCTGACATTTGCCTCTGTCTGCCATGAAAGCTAAATTCTCAAACAGGCTATCATTGTGGCTGGCCTCAGTGACCTTCATCTGAGGATCTTCATATCGAAACAAGCTGAAACTACCTCAATTACTGGGTTATAGATCGCAGCGGGTTTCAAATATACACTTTGAAACACACTATGTACATCCTTACCTTGACGTCTGTAAACACTGCCATTAGCCCATGGTTAATACTCAGAAGAACTGAGAGGAAACTCTGTGAGTTCTTGTTTTGGGAGTCTAGTTTTTTCTTCCTACGGGAACGATAGTTGGGATCAACAGTAGAAAAATACTGCAAAGTTTCCTCTTCTGATCCACTTTCCTCATCTATGAGAAAAAAATGTTCATAATCGCATCGTTCTGACAGCTTATTAAAATACCAGCTTGGGCCGAAGGGATAGTACAGCAGGTAGGGCATTTGCCTTGCACGAGGCCTACCTAGGTTTAATACCCAACACCCCATGTGGTCCCTTGAGCACTGCCAGGGGTATCCCCCCAATTAATTAATAGCTTGGTAGTGCAGGAATAGTACAACAGGTAGGAAGCTTGCCTAACACACAGAAAATCCTGGGTCTGATCCCCAGCACCACATATGGTTCCCTGAGTTTGCCAGGAGTCAGACCTGAGCATCATCTGATGTGGCCCCAAAACCAAAAATAAAGTAAAATAAAACAAACATTTGAACCGTAGCATAAATTAGTTACTTATATATTTACAGCCTGCTGATTTTTTTAAAGAATTTGCCATGATAATTTTTTTTCTCTTGCCCACTAAACTTCAATTTATAAGCTGTCATTATAAAGAGAGCAGACTTAATTGATAATATCCTGAATATGCAGACAGAATGGGAAATACTATCAATTACTAAAAGAAATAATAGTTTCAAATGAAAAACAGTCAAGGAGATACTAAAAAAGTTATTACTAAACTCAACAACTTAGTACTCGACCAAATTAAAATACATTACCGTAGTGAACAGCAGATTTAAATGGAGTGAAACTATCTTTGTTGAAGGTATTAATCAGCTGACTGGCTACTGAAAGTCCAATACCATAGGAAATATTTTCAAATGTTTCCACTGGTGAAGGAGCTGTTGGTTCCCACAGCAGCAAGTCATTAAAGATCCTACAGACAAAAGTTGAAAAATAAGTTCATGACTTGATACAGATAAAGACTACTGTACTCAGGAGTGAGAGTTCGAAGGGTTGGAGCACAGACTGGACAAACAGAGGCTGTGATTTTGAGCCTCAAGGTTCCCTCAAGGACTCTCAAGCTAGGCCCGAGGCACTGAACCATCCCAAAGGCACAACTGAATTAAATATTGAGAGAAATGATCCCCAGTCCCCTGAGCACTGCTGGGGACCCCATCCCCCCAAAGTACACAGACATACCCACCTATGGTCAGAGAGACAGTGCGTGCCTAGCATGGATGGAAAGACACGAGTCTGATTCCCACAACCTCCTGGCCCCAAGTACCACCCGGCTAATAACAAAACGTTAATATATGTGTGTATATACCCCTCTCTCATATGTGAAGTGAACACCCACAGTAAAAGAAACAGCTAAAAGCCACAGAATCCACAAACTGTTCTACAGAATGAGGATCTCATGCCCAGGGCAATAAGATACACGCAGCGGGGTTCAAGAGGAACCCGGGGACAGAGATGGCAGGAAACAGGCACTGAGTGTGGGTGAGGCGCTGGCATGCTGGAGTGCACGACACCCTGCCACTGATAGCTCTGGGAGCTGGAAACCTCCGTGGCTTAAATAAAACCCAGTTTTAAAAATCACTTAATTTGGGGTTGGGGGGGTGGGGAACACCTGGCAGTGCTCAGAGCTTATTCCTGGCTCTGGACTCTGGGTTCACTCCTAGTGGGATACAGGGGTGACACAGGAAGTGCTGAAGATCAAACCAAGGTTGACCGCGTCAAGGCGAGTGTCCTAGTTGCTATACTACCGCTCAGTTCCAACTTAAATCATTTTGTAACGATGGAACAGAAATGGAGCCTACAATGAATTTTAAAAATCAATTATGTTTTTTCAATACAAAAAATAACTGAAGATATAGGGTAATAAGAGGAATTTGTACAATTAGACACCTCATTAGATACCTAATCTAGCTTCACTTGTTATGTGTACATACAGTTATATACATCTAAATATACTTATATGAGAAAGTTAATTAAAAATGAAAGTCCATAAGGAACAAAAGACAATCCACACAGATGCAAGAGTGTGACCTTTGAAAACTGTGACAGATCAAACATTGTCTCATTTGATCATTCCTTCAGTTCTGCGCAGAAGCCACGGAAGAAGCTTCCTTCTCACTTCATATTGATGAAACTGCCTCAGGAAGGTTAAGTGACCGACCCAAGTGCACACCACGAGACTTAGACCTGTGTCCAGGTCCTGTCCAGCTCCCAACTTCAGTTTTCCACATTTTACCACTTCTCTTGTGTTTTCCTTATTTAAATAATAGTCTGAACACGGTCTTCATGTCACTGATCACTGAAACAATGACTGAGGTTTCTAAGATCAAGAAAGAAAACCCTGGGGCTGGAGTGATAGTACAGCAGGTAGGGCACTTGCCTTGCACACAACCATCTGGATTTGATGCCTGGAGTCCCACAGATCCTCTGGGCCTGCCAGGATGGATCCCTGAGCGCAGAGCCAGGAGTAAGCCCTGAGCACTACCATGTGTGATCCCCAAACAAAAACAAAAGAAGGAACGCGGGGGCTGGAGCAATAGCACAGCGGGTAGGGCGTTTGCCTTGCACGCGGCTGACCTGGGTTTGATTCCCAGAACCCCATATGTCCCCTGAGCACCGCCAGGAGTAATTCCTGAGATCAGAGCCAGGAGTAACCCTTGTGCATCGCCGGGTGTGACCCAAAAAGCAAAAAAAAAAAAAAAAAAAGGAATGCTCCTGTACAAAGACTCCAAGACCCTGAGTCCCCCCAGCCCCTGCCAGCCCTTTCTCCGGAATCGCCCCACTCTGATGCACTCTGCACCTGACGCAGAGCTATGACAGGAGAGCAGAGCCGAGGGACGTGACGGTGCCAGAAAGCACAGCCCATATGACGGTGGAGGAACACGAGTACACACACCATGTCATCACATATGCCGTGACAATGCCCACCAGAAGGGTACCAGCTCTCCAGTCAACACCTTACAAAGAACACTGAGCGAGAGGTAATGACCAAGCAAGCATGGATGGAGGAGGAAGCAGGAAAGTGTGGAAGAGGTTAGGCAGAAAAGTCCAAGCCTACAAATGAAGTGCTTAAACTTACCTATTATAAAGCTTCTCATAAAAACTTTTATTAGGTAGTGTTATGTGAACATTGGGTAAAGTAAGCTCCAAAACGTAGTGAGAATTGCTGATTGCTTTATCCTGAAACTCTGTCATTTCGACAGGGTCGCCTGGCATCACCATCTGAAATAACAGTGTCGTGGGGAAAAAAAAAAATCAATCGGTCAAATGAGCATTCTATGTGTGAAAGCAGTAGGACCGCCGTCTTAGCCTGTCCTTAATATTGGTTTGTAAACACATCAGCATATAACCTGATTTTTATTTTTTTTTAGAAATTAGAAATGTGTTTTAGAAAGCAGAAGAGACAGGAATACGAATTCCCCATGTGGGGAGGAACTTAGTAGAGAACTAAGTTCAGAATACAACCTAATTTTGACCAAGAAAAGAAAAAGTTATCCTTCGACCTTGGAGCTAACAATCTGGCAAGAACGTACACGGAGTGACTCTCAGAGACGAAGAACCCAAGCCAGTGTGGCACGGGAGAAGGCGTCCCCCCACCACTCGCGCGTGCTCGTGTACCTGCTCATTTTCAAACATCACTCGGCGAGAAGAAAAGGGAGACGGAGCTGGTCTCCTGAGATCGCAGACATCCTTCAGGGAGTGGGCGCCGCCTTCCTCCTCTTCCTGATAGTGGCCGTCGCTCTCCTCCTCCTCCTCAGCCGCGATCCGCTCCAGAATGGAATGCATGGCGGGGGGGTTGACCTTCAGAACAATTCTGACAGCAACGACAATTGGGGGGGAAAGAAATCAAGACCTTTGATGGTCACCCCTGTTCTGACTCTGCGCATACACAACACCTGACCAAGTCGATGAGAACTGGGCTGAGCTTGCAGATGACTCGCTGTATAATCATCATCTGGGTGAAGCTGGCGGTGAAAGTGGAGAACAAAATGTATGTTCTGGCAACATCTTTTGTGAGCAGAGATTCAGATACTCCTAACCAGCGCAGGGATTTTTCCCTGTGAACTGGACCCTATCTTGAAATTTCCTAAGACCCAGCTTTGTCTTCTTGGCTTCAACTAAGAAATGAAACTTTCTGGAACCGGGAACACTGATGGAGATAGACCCCAAAGAGACCACGACGCTGCTTGTCCCTGCGCAGACCTCTTCTGGTTCCTCCAGAGGTCTTAGAAGACAGGGACACTGCACCCAGGGGGACCTGTCAGCTGGACACAGCTGACCTTGCACCTAGAAATCATCTCTGAGGGCTGCACGCAGAATTTTAGGCTTACAATCACATTGTAACCTTTTTTTCTCCCAATCCATAGAAACGCCTCTTATTACTTGCAAGGTATCATCTTAGCTTGAGACCCACCCACAAGGCCTATCTCAAAGATTCGGCCATGTCTGTTTATTTGAATTAATCGAGTCTGAGAACTGAAACTGAGTTCTGGGAAAGAAGCAAGTCAGTTTCTGACTTGTTTAGTTCCGAGAGAAGTTCCAAGAGTGGAACTGCAGAGGAACAAAACTATGCCAGCCCCACTTAGAAGAGGGCCATAGTAGAGGGTGCAGCGTTGGAACGCCGTATGCATGAAGCCCTTTCATTAACAGTACTGTAAAGCACAGTGGTTGAAATAAAATTTGTTTTTAAAGATGTGAACCCAAAACATGTCTTTGGTCCCTTCAGAAAGACCCCTAATGGAGATACACAAATATCCCTCAGGGTCTCCCAGATATGATCTAACTGACCAAGAAAAAAAGATTGTGAATCTACACTGCTCTGTGTGTGTGTATGTGTGTGTGTGTGTGTGTGTGTGTGTGTGTGTTTAACCTAAGAACAGGGTCCAGAGATCTTTCTGTGTAGCACCTAGAGAGCAAGAAACTCTTCCCCATTCCCACAAGTCTTACCCAATCTTTTTTCTACTGAATTCTATTATTTTGTAAAAAATCGGTAATCTAGTAAAAACTGCAATAAAGGTTTAATCAAGATTCAAGTCCAGGGGCCAGAAAGATGTACAGCAGGTAAGGCACTTCAGCTGACAGTCTGAGTTTGACATCAAAACAAGCAAACAAAAAACCCAAGGTGTAAAACATAAAACTTCAACCACGAAACTAATGTAAGACCAGAGAGCAAATCATTATTGGCAGAATTAGCTTCTCTAAAAAAACTATCGACTGTAACCCACCTCATGTCTAAGTTTAAAGTGTTAACTGAAACCCATTCATGAATAAATCTGTAACGTGTATCTCATGGTGATTCAATAAAAGGGGAAAAAATACACCATCGAGGGAAAAGTGTAGAAATAATACAAAGGGAGGCTAACTGAAAATATCGTTAAGGAGGGAAAGGTCATTTTATTTTGAGGTCACACCTGGGAGTGCTCAGGACTGATTCCTGGCTCTGTGCTCACAAACCGTTCCTGGCAGGGCTCTGGGGTCCATGGGGGTTCACAGGAATTGAACCTGGGCCAGCTGCAGGCAAGGCAAGCATCCTACCATTGCTCTGGCTCCAGAAAGGTGATTTTTAGTTTTCATTAACAGTCAAGAAATTTAATCTAAAGAATAATCTTATTTCTCATTAAGATTATCCTATTTATCATTAAACCAAATCCTTCCACCTGCAGCCTGTCCTGCTATTACGGAATCCTAAGAACCCTATCCTGATACTACGGAATAGCCAAGAACCCTCATGCTATGTAAATCTTATTCTGTAGCACTGTAGCACTGTCCTGTCCTCCCATTGTTCATTGATTTGCTCGAGTGGGCCAAGTAACACTGTGAGAGTTGTTACTGTGTTTGGCACATCGAATACGTCACGGGGAGCTTGCCAGGCTCTGCTGTGCGGGCGAGATACTCTCGGTAGCTTGCCGGGGTCCCTGAGAGGAGCGAAGGAATCGAACTCGTGTTGGCCACGTGGGCCACGTGCAAGGCAAACGCCCTACCCGCTGTGCTATCGCTCCAGCCCAAATCTTATTCAAATTTAAAAAAAAAGAAGTTATAAATAGGGAACAGTTTCAGAATTACAACAAAGCAGTATTTTCCTCCCAGAATTTCAGCAGCCAAAATCTTTCACTGTTTTCAGCTGGAAACCCACTAACAGTTTGATGACACTCGCTTCTGCCCAGAGTGTCGCTGCTCCCCTTCTCCCCTCTGTGGCCTCTCATGACTGCATGGCTCTCTGGTCGCCCTTTGTCATGGCAGTGGGCCCCTGTCGCCAGAGGTGGGGCAGGTCACAGTGAAGAACTGCACTGCATTTAGAGTTTGTTCCCCTAGGAAGGTGGTGTAAGTGATTCTACTTATAAGCTATCATAATCATTTTTATCGGCACCCCAGAGCAAACCATGCTCCCAAATCACTTTGGGAAGCAGAACCACTTTTCACTGGCGGCAGGCACCAACAGGGGCAGGGCCAGACCGATGGCATGGAGAAGGTCCCCTTCATCTGCAGAGGTGGTGACTGTCAGCTTTCAGATGAACAACGGGTCATACTGCAAGCAAGTCAAGCCCTGTATCAAGCTAACTGAATTTAACGAATGATTTATCCTGCCTAAAAAATTCTGCAGCAGAAGCTCTTTAAGTTCACCTGCACGGTGGAATCGCCTGGGAGAACTTGAAAAATGTGCTGGTGCCCAGGTAAGATAACTCAGAATCTCGGGTGGGGCCCAAGAATCAGCATTTTGTTAAAACTCTTCAGATCTGAAAACTCTGTCCTAAAACAATCATTGACTAGAAAATTCACTTGACAACTAAATAGTGCTATATGATATCTCTTCTTGGACTGAACGCGTTTTCAAATGGTTCCTACTCTTCTTGTCCCTCTAATTAGACAAAACGAGTATTAGCCATTAACAATGACTAAGAATGTGGGGCTGGAGTGAGGTGGGGCATTTGCCTTACATGCGGCCACCCCAGGTTCAATCCCTAGCACCCCATACTGTCCCCTTAGCCCCACCGGGAGAGATTCCTAAGCACAGAGCCAGAAATAAGCCCTGAGCAGTGCTGCACGTGGCCCCCAAACAAAAACAAAGTCACACCTAGCAAATGCATTTATACTTCCTTCAGTATCGAACACCCCGGTCAGCCAATACTCAAGACATCCTTTTAATTTCATTTGTGCATACTCATCAGGTTCTCTCATCAGGGCTGGACCTTCCCAGCTTCAACTGAGTAGCCAAAAACTCTAAAGAGGACGCACAGCCCCTTGTTTCTGAAAGACTATCTCAAAGCATCATTCCATGCATTAGGCTACTTACCGGGGCCAGTCAAAGTCATCTGAGGATGCTGGGTCCCCATCGAGCCCACTAGAAACGTGGAAAAACTTAATGGATGGTTCTCCTTTATCTTCCTGGAATGATCCTAGACAAGACAGATGAACTGAAATTACTTTCTTCCCAAGTACTCAAAGAAAACTACTTTCCTCCTTAGAGATCTGCAAATTCTCTACATCACTTATTCATCTGCTCTTGTGTCAAGTTGTGTGAGGAAGCGGGAATGAGCACAGAGAAGCTTCCTGTTGAAATTCCTGAGCGCCCGTTTTAATGTGGAAGGTGCAGAATAATGCAGAGTAAATATAACACAGTTAATACTTAACAAGTACCACTTAATTATAATTCTTCATAAAAATGTATGGCTAATTTAGAAACAATAACATTTTGACATTTTGGGGAATTTTTTTTTGGGGGGGGGCGGTTCACACTGAAGATGCTCAGGGTTACCCCTGGCTCATGCATGCACTCAGGGATCAGTCCTGGTGTGCTCAGGGTACCATGTGGGATGCTGGGAATCGAACCCAGGCTGGCACCGTGCAAGGAAAATGTCCTACCTGCTATACTATTTCTCTGGTCCAATAACCACATTTAAAAAGCCTATTTTGAGCTAAGCACCCTAAGAATTACTTCTGTTTACAATAATCCTGTATCTGTGTTTTCATTCCATTTCCAAATGAAGAATGATTCGCCTCCAGAAAGAGTTCTGTCCCACTGGCGATAAGGGAAGACTCAAAGGAACTATTATAAAGTCAACGGAAACGGTCAATTTTAAGTATCTCTAACTTAGCTCTACCCTCAGACCCCTGAGTTTCACAAGGGAAACTGTAACCAGTTTCCAAGGGTAAAACCTAAGTGGTTTTACAAAGAAAGTCACCATATGGGGTCGGTGTGGTGCTGTTATGTTATGCATGAAAAAGCACTGTAAACCACAATGTCTAAAATAAAACTAGGGGAAAAAAAGAAGTCTCCACATTCGTTACAGTGAAGAGCTGGAAGTAAGCCTACTGAAACTATGATGACTAAAGGAGAGAAGGTCATGTGTGTGAGGGGTTCTTAGCTCCATTCCTAACTTTCAACAAATGTTGAACACTATTAGGTGCACAGGTCAGAGGTCAGCTATAATTAAAATGAAACCTAAAGAACTATATTCCCTTGTAGGAAAAAGTTTCTTTGGTTTTTTCTTTTTTTTTTTTTTTTTTTTTTTTTTTGCTTTTTGGGTCCTACCTGGCTATGCTCAGGGGTTATTACTCCTGGTTTTGAATTACTCCTGGTGGTGCTCAGGGGACCATATGGGATGCTGGGAATCGAACCCAGGTTGGCTGTGTGCAAGACAAATGCCCTCCCCAATGTGCTATCGCTCCAGCTGAAAGGAAGCTTCTTAACAAAGTGAAGAAATTACAGCACTTAGGCACTTCCTTTCAAAAACTGACATATCATATGCTGTAATTTCATTTCCGAAACGAACTTATCACATATCTGTAGGTAATACTGGGGGAAAGTTGTTACTCTATTTTACAACATAATGTTCTTTAAGTTTGCTACACTCGGGAGTTGTCTTTTCAGAATTTAAGTCTCAGAAGCAAATGTTTGTTTCTAGTCCGGCACTATCATCGGCAAGTTAAGTCTTACCTGCTAGCTCTCTAAATGTAAGTTCCAACTTCATTTGCTCTGGAGTGGAGCCTCCGACAAATTCTGTCTTGAATTCTAGATCTGTGAACGCTAAGTGAAGGATCTCCTTCTGAAGTGACTTCTTAAACCACGGCCCTCTTTCTTGATCCGATCGAAGATCAGGTATTGGGAAGCGAACAGAAAGATTCAAAGCTGGTGTAGCAACTTGTACTGATATCCGACAATTTGCAGGATTATGTGAATCATCTAGAAATACTTCAGTGAAAGCCTTGTGCTGAAATACAAAAATCAAAAATATGACAAAATATTAAGTAAGCAAAAATGACACTAGTATGCAATGTTACAATATATGTATACCCCTATTTCCTTATTCATATAAAGCATTAAAATAATTTATAGTAACTACTTCCATATTAACTTACTATAATAATCTTTTTTTTTTTTTTTTTTTGCTTTTTTGGGTCACACTCGGCAATGCTCAGGGGTTACTCCTGGCTTTGCACTCAGGAATTACTCCTGGCAGTGTGCGGGAGACCATATGGGATGCTGAGAATTGAACCCAGTTTGGCCACGTGCAAAAAAAAAAAAAGCTCTACCTGCTATACTATCACTCCAGCCCCACTGTAATAAATTTTTATAATGCAATAGCTCATGAGAAGTCATAATTGCTCGCAAAAGTTCAACCTTACATATTAAAAAAAAGAAGAAAACTAAAGCACCCAAAATGAATGCAGGCACTACAGAATATACGAATTTTACTATAGACTAGACACTAAATTAACTTGTCAAATACGGCTGAAAGCCAATATAGTACCCAAAATTCAATTTAAAAGATTATTTCCCAGTTTGCTACTTTACACACTCAATGGGAAATCAGATCAGTTATGCCAAAGACATAACTTCTGACTCATCTTTGTATTTCTAGAACGAAGGCCAAAATTTAGCATATCATCAGTTCCTTTCTCACATTAGGTGAAAACTTGTATTTTTACTTCTTGACTGATTATTGGTTTTGGGGGGCCCCACCACACTCAAGAGGTACTTGGGAGCTATCCCCGACTCAGTGCTCAGGGGTCACTCCTGGTGCTAGTCAAGGTGCCATACTCATGACCAGGGACTGACCCCAGGCTGACTGCATGCAAAGTTTGAATGCAGCCTATTGCTAGATCTCCCTGGCCCCCAAAACCTGGACTTGTAAATGAATCGATTCCTTCTGTCCCCATTAGACTTTTAGCACCCTACTTTTACCAAAAAAATATCATAATTCAACCATCATCTCAACATGTCCCTAATAGTAAATACAGAACTAGCCCCAAAGTACTCAAACAATAAAGAATGTTGATTTAATGTGAACAGTGACCAATAACCAAGGGGGGAAGCAAATAAGAAGGGAAATTAAACCAATTTTTCCTTTTCAAGTTAACTGTGTCTGTTAATGGTCCTACAACCCCCCAACTCCCGTTTCATAACTTCTTAAAAATCTGACACTGATTTTCCTTGGAAAGACACTAAGGATTAAGATCTAAGTAAAAACGATATAAATCAATATTCCAGGACTCAATACTCTAAACTCATTCTCATGGGGCTGGAGCAATAGCACAGCGGGTAGGGCGTTTGCCTTGCACGCAGCCAAACTGGGTTCGATTCCCAGCATCCCATATGGTCCCCTGAGCACTGCTAGGAGTAATTTCTGAGTGCAGAACCAGGAGTGACCCCTGTGCATTGCTGGATGTGACCCAAAAAGAAAAAAAAAATTAAATAAATAAATAAATAAATTCTCATGCTTTAGTCTCGGGGCCACACGTGGAGGTGCTCAGGGCTACTCCTAGCAGGGCTCTGAGAACCGTCTGGATCAAAACACTTACAGGATAAGCGCCACTTCTGCTGTGCTACCTCTCCAGCCCCCAGATTCTCATTTTCTAAAGGATCATCTAATATTACAGGAGCTACACTTTATAGGTGGCTTAGTGGTTTATTAAATGCAAATAGAGAAAAAAAAAGAGAAAAAAGAGAAAAAAGGAGAAAAAATGCAAACAGATAAAATTTTGTGAAGATATTATAGATAAAAAATTTTTTTAAAAAAAGAAAATCTAATTCTGCTACTGTGACATCAATGCTACCAATCATTATTTGGCTATCTGTTCTTTCACTATGTACCCACTTGTGGTAAGTTTATGTGGACTAAATCTTCTACTTTTTCACCTCCTGTCATAAGCCTTCTTCGATGGCTAAAGATGTCACTGCATCAACTTAACACTCATCACTTAAGAAGCCATATAACCTGGCACTTAGCAACTAATGAAATTTACTTAGCTAATCTATTGTCTAGACAAATAGGTCTCCATTTGGGGTGATGCTGAGATGATTTATACAAGAAACCATGGTGCATAAAACTTTTTTTTTTTAATCTCCATTTGAGGGGCCAGAGAGCGAGCAGCATGGACCGGGCGCTTGCCTTGCTTGAAGCTGACCTATGTTAGATTCCCAACACCCATATGGCTGCCCAAACACTGCCAGGAAGGACCCTGGAGCGCAGAGTCAGAAGTAAACCCTGAGCACCGCCAAGTGGGGCCCAAAAACAAACGCCAAAGGGCTCCATTTGAACAACAGCAGAGTGCCTAAGGAGCTTGCCTTGCATGCAGATAACCTGAATTCCATCCCAGATATCCCATATGGTCCCCCAAGCACAGAAACCAAAGCCTCTCTGGGTGTGGGAAAAAAAAAAAAAAAGAAATCTTCCATTTAGAGGCGGAGGGCAGAAAAACAAAAATGGATTTAAGGTGTTCCGGTGAGGCTAATTCCCTGACACACATATAATCCCCAGAGCACTGCCAGGAGTGATCCCTGAGTACAGAATCAAGACCGTCCCCAGAGTACCACTAGGTATGGCCTCAAGGCCCAAAACTGCCAGGAGTGACCGGAGCAGAGGCTGGAGAGACCTGAGCCCACTGGGTCTAGCTCAAACCCCACCATCACCATCACCACCACCAAAGCCAGCATCCGGAGCCAGAGATAGTACAGGGGTGACTGCACTTGCCTAGCGCGCGTCCCTCCTTGGTTGGAATCCCAGCTCCATATACAGTTCACTGTCAGGAGTAACCCCGAGTATAGCCGAGTCCCACTTAGTGTGGGAGCAAAACCCCCATGCACTGCCCCTCCCCCCCAAATAACTCCAAACCTCCACTGCTTTGATTAACACAAATAGTATCATTTTAGCAATATATGCCATTTTAATCTGTTAGGAATACATATGCCAAACACAGTAACAAGTCTCACAATGGAGACGTTACTGGGCCCGCTCGAGCAAATCGATGAACAACGGGAGGACAGTGCTACAGTGCCACATAAGTTAAGAAATAATCTCAATTAGCCTATTAGCTAGAGACATTCTGATTGGTTTCGCAGTTTCAGAAGACTTACCAAACTAATATGCTTATTATATGAAGTGTACATGTGAGAGGCCATCATCTCCACTGTAGAGAGTTTCTGTGGCTGAAGCAAGGAATTCAACCTGTCCACAATACTGATGTCCAGCTCACAGAACACTGGGTTTAATTTAATTTGCAACTCTGCCTTCTGCGGAACGGCACTAAGTCTTGCTTGATTGCCCTTCAATAAGAGGAAAGCATTAATATCATCACTAACAGTATCACAGAAGTTATAACTTACGATTCTCACAAACTATCTATCAAAGGTTTCTTACCTGGGGTCCTTTATTCTCAGAATGTTTATAATGCAGCTGAAGACACACTGGGGGGTGAGAATCGGTTCTTTCTTTGGAATGAAACATTAAAAGCTGAAAAACAAAAATGAAGAAACAGTCAACTCAGGCTGGAAAGCTGCAACTGACCATGCGTCAGCAGGGATGCTACAAAAAAGAAGAGCTTCTTGACATCAGAGAAGCTGGCTTTAAGTCTGACTTTTGTCACTACTCACATGACTCTGACAAATTAGTTAACTTCTACCTTATTAAGTTTTGTGTGCCCGGCAAGCTACCGAGAGTATCTCACCCGCACGGCAAAGCCTGGCAAAATATAGTTAAGGGTTCTAAATTAAAATCCAAGAATCTAATTAGAAAACAAAATAGAGAGGGGCCGGAGCAATAGCACAACAGGTAGGGCACTTGCCTTGCATGTGGCTGACCTGGGTTTGATTCCCAAAACCCCTAATGGTGCCTCAAGCATGGCCAAGAACGAACCCTGAGCACAGAGCCAGGAGAGAGCCCTGAGCACTGCTGTGTGTGACCCAAAAAAAAGAGAAATGAAAAGAAACCATACAAATGCAAATAAGCGGTAATAAGTGATACTTTAATAAGTTCTTAAGACAGAAAAACAGAATAGAGTGTTGCCGGGTGTGGCCCAAAACATCTCTCCCTGCTCCAAAATTAATAAAGATAAGCATGTTTAAAAACTTTGGAATAACAGAACTCTTCTGAAATCAAGAGACCTTGGAAAATGAGTCAAAGCAAGTCATTTGGCCGCATCACCCATTCGTCAGTCTAAAACAAGTCAAGTGGGGGGTTGGGAAAGGGTCCTGAGCACCACTGAAGTCAGCTCCAAGTCAATCAAAAGAAATAAAACCAGTCAGCTCAAATGAAAATCCCTACCATAACTGACGGAGCCTGAACGCCACACTTGGCAGGACTTGCGGTCAGGGGCCGGGACCTGAGGCAGGACAGATACTTGCCCTGCATCTATGTGGTCCCGGGTTCAGACAATTCCCGCAGCACAAGTGGAGGGCGCGGGTGTTTCATTAGGGCCGGGGTATGGCTCAGAGGTGCAGAGCACATGCTTGGATGTGCCAGGCCCAGAGTTGAGCCCCCGCAGAGCACTGGCCCCCTGAACACTGCCAGGAGTGTCACGGTGGCCCCGGCGTAACTGGGTCCTGAGCGTCCTGGCGTCATGAAGCAAAAGGCCCTCAAGACCTGGCTCTCATTAAACAAATCTACATCAGCAAAACCAAACTATGGAAGAAAAATCTCTTGTATGACTTTAATACCTTAAAAAAAAATCACGGCTGCTTAGATAATACTTCCAAAGCGAAAGAGCTCTCGAGCAGATCTAAGGGGAGCTGTTTACCTCTGTGTAGTGCGGGGGCGCGGACTGGGCGTCAGTGGGAAAGAGGCACTCCAGGAGCTCCATGTGCCCGATGGACACGTCAGTGCTGAAGTAGCGGGCGGCCGCCCTCTGCCTCTGCTCGTACGACACCTTGACGCCGGTACCTATAAACCTAACACGGGAAAAACAGAGCTGAAGGGGATCCGCGGACACTCCTAGGTTCGGCAAAAGGTTAGGAATTACTACCGACTCGGAGAAATTCAAAGTGTTAGTAATAACAAATCTTCCTAGAGACATTAATCAGAAAGATGACTTCAACTGTCTCATCATCTGATGCGAATAGAAATTCTACTGATAGAAATTGCCTAGAACATATTTCCCAAAAGTGCTCTTCCTTCTACCTGGTAAAAATTCATGCTGAAGTGTACACAATGCTGCACATCATAAAATGTAATAATTTCTTAAAAGTATCTCACAGCACCAGGCACAAATGAAAATTTTCAGCCAGCACTGGTGGAGGGATGGGTGGTCGAGCATTCTACGACTGAAATGTAATCGTGCAAGTTGGTATCTCATAGTGATCCAATAAAAATTAAAAAATCGATTAATTAATTAAAATTTCAGCCTGAGGAGCACAAATGGAGATCTAGCTTTTCTTCCTTGTTATATTTCTTATTGGCAGAGTTTTTGAAACTCTGGCAAAAAATGTTAAGAAAAAAAAATGTTCTTAGTTTGGCTATAAATACTATGTTCTTAATCCACATAGCTTCTATCGGCTGATATAAAAACTACTTTTAATACTTTATAAAAGTTAAAATTGGGCCAGAGCCACAGTACAGTGGTTCAGGCATCTGCCTTGCACTCAGTCAGCCCAGGTTCAATCCCCAGCACCAATATGGTCCCCCAAGCCCGCCCTGAGTGCAGAGCCAGGAGTAAGCCCTGAGCATTGCCAAATGCAGCCCAAAATAAAAACATATAAGTGAAAATACAAAACCACCCTAATTTTAAAAATTCAAATTTAAAGGCTAAAGTTTAAAAAGCCAATTTTCTAATAACAGTAATGTGTCTCCACTACGTATGTGAGGTTTAAAACTGACTTAATAATTTAAGTCACTTTCATGTTAAAGTACTATCTGTACACCAATAACATTTTATTTTTCAAACTGATTATTACAGAGGCTGGAGAGATAGGACAGCTGGTAGGGTGCTTGCCTTGCACATGGATGACCTTGGGTCTAATCCCCAGCACCCCAGATGGTCCCCTGAGCTCTGCCAGGAATGATCTCTGAGCCCCCAAACTAAATAAAATAAAACTGACTTCATCAAGTAGGAGTCAATCCATGAAAAGATCATTAGCTATTTGGAAAGCTTTGATTTAAAAAGGATTAGTTTGGCTTTATTTTGGGGTCACACCTGGAGGTGCTCAGGGTTTCCTCCTGGTTCTGAGCTCAGAGAGCCCCACCGGTGGTGCTCAGGGGACCACAGGTGATGACAGGGATGGAAACCAGGTCAGCCGCATTGCAACCCGACCCTCTCAACTATCTCTCTGGTCTCTGCTTTAATTTTTTTTAAACTGAATATATTTGGCACGTAACACTATATTTAAAGTGCACAGTGTGTTACTCTAATATATGCATATGTGTATAATGTCATCTTTGATGCATACATATGTATGGGAATATGATTACACTGTAATACAGCTTTGATTTTTTTTTTTGAAGCAAGAAAGCTTTCATTCAGGGGCTAGAGTGGTAGCACAGCTGGTAGGCCGTTTGCCTTGCCCGTGACCAACCTGGGTTCGATTCCCAGCATCCCATATGGTTCCCTGAGCACCGCCAGGGGTAATTTCTGAGTGCAGAGCCAGGAGTAATCCCTGTGCAGTGCCAGGTGTGACCCTGTCCTCCCATTGTTCATTGATTTTGCTCAAGCGGGCCTAGTAACGCCTCCATTTTCAGACTTCTTGTTACTGTGTTTGGCATATTGAATACATCACAGGTAGCTTGCCAGGCTTTGCCATGCGGGCGGGATACTCTCAGTAGCTTGCCAGGCTCTCTGAGAGGGGTGGAGGAATCGAACCTGGCTCAGCCGGGCTGGCTGCACACAAGGCAAACGTCCTACCACTGAGCTATCGCTCCATCCTACTGTGCTATCGCTCCTAAAAGCAAAAAAAAAAAAAAAAAAAAGCTTTCATTCAAACTTATTTAGAAAGATAAGGGAAAAGTGTTCAGGAGAGAACACAGGCTTCTCCAGAGTGAAAACAGGCAAAGGAACATCAAGACAAGCCAGCGAGACACATGTTCGGGGAGAACATGGGCATGAAGAGTGAGGCCCACTACAATTTTTCCCACTATTTTTTATTTGAGTCATAGAAACCTTGACTGTTTTTCTGATTTCAAGCAGGACTGGAAAATGCAGCATCTCAGTTCTGGAGTGGCCTTGGCACCCTCTCCCAGCCCAAGGCATCCTAGTCTCCCTCACATCCCATCTTCACTAAGCCAAAAACAATCAGAATTATTTTTAATGGTCTCAGTGTGGATGATGACAAAATGTGGTCATTTCTTTATATGGCCCAAGGAGGAATTTAGAAATCTCCAGATCACTTTGTGTGTGTATACACACACACACACACACACACACACCTTTGAATTTATATCATTAGATAATCTGAGAGATTCTACATTAAGCATCTTTGCAGCACTGCAAGAAAACCTCACTTATTTGGTTCATTTCAAATAAAATGCGAATTAGAAAAATAAATATATGTAGGTAGATAGCTGGATATGGATGTTCATTAATAAACGAGTGTTTACCTAAGATGATCATGAGAACAAGCTTCTGCAAATACTGCTCGGAAAGACTTAAAATCTTCTGTGGAGAATCTGGCGGGATCGATCTTTTCGATACAAGTAAAGAAAGCCACCGCCATAGGAGTCAACGGATTAAGGTTCAACGATGTTTCGGGTGGAGACAAAGGATCAATGTGAAGCACAGAAACGGAAAAAGTTCCCACGGCTACTCTAAATATGAGTTCAGGCCTGGATTCATCCACTGAAACAGACCTAGAAGGGAGAGCTGCAATGCATGTATTAAGATTATGTACCTAAAAGGCAAAATTCTGTAACAATTCATAATATCAATACCGTAAAGTAGTCATTATGCATTACTGTCCAGGTGATAAGGAAAAAAGTCTAAACGTATTTAAGTGAGTAAGATCACGATCATCTTTCTACATCTTGTACCCAGGATCCTCTCTTGACACTCTGGAACACCGCCCAGCGGGAAATTTGTGACCAAAGCTCTCTGGAGGTCACTGGAGAGCTGAGGCTCCACAAGTAGCTGGTAGTGAAGAGCTCCAGGGGTGCTTCAGGGGGCTACCAGGTAACACCCTATAGTACTGGGGGCAGGGCGGGGGGCAGAGCAAGCAGGGCCGTGAATGAATGCGGGGCGTCACCTACTCGGAATGTGCTCTGACCACTTGAGTTCTCGGACCTAGTCCCGAGTAAGTCAGGGATGGGCCAACAGCCGTCGCCAAATATGCCTTTAAGTCTGAAACCCACTTCATTTAATTATGCAGGGAAGACAACTGAGGCTCTCTTTCGAAGACAGTATAAGCAGAGAAACAATCAGATGGATAGTTGATAGTCCCAAACCACGGTAATATAAAATTGATGTGTAATTTCTACTAAAAATATTTAAATGCCCAAAGATACAATGGATAGGCAACGATCCTAAAACATTTCACAACGAATTCGTCAACATTCATTTTCTTTTTAAACAAGCTAAATGATCTAGACCAAAAACTTTTTATGAAAAAAAAAAAAAAAACTGCAACTACACAACTGAGGAGCTGGGAGACAGAACACAGTCTCGCCGGTGTGGGGCCCCGCCCTCTGCCTATCCTAGTGGCAGAAATGCAATGGGTGGCCGGGATAGGACAGTGGGAGGGAGTTTGTCTTGCAAGCAGCCAACCCTGGTTTATAGCCTGAGCATCAGCCAACCCCTGAGCATCACCGGGTGTGGCCTAAACCCCTCCACCCCTCCGTGGAAACGATCAACAAATATCTATTTCTACTTACAAGTCTTCTGCAAGGGTGCTGGGTGAACGAGGTTCGATGGCAATGCGGACCCTCGGACCGGCTGTTCTTTCTGGGGATCAAGGTAATCGCCCCAAGTTGGCTGAAGCTAGAAAATAAATGTTTTAAGTCTATAAATAAAATTCAGACTTGAAAAAAGCAACTTTTCAAGAATAAAGTATTAAATCATACCGTACCAGAGTCGCATTTAACGGAGATCCTGCTGGGGTATTTGTATATGTGCTAGTGAGCGACAATTCAAGGTCCATGTTCGGGGGATCCCCCAGGGGTGGAAGAGAAGAAAGACTGTGGGACATATCCATATCGGCCATAGAGAAGAAAACTTCTTCTTCTAGAAAGAATTAAACTTGTCAATTGTGCTCGTGATTCTGCCATTCATTCGCTCTTTAAAGTTTAGTTAAGGGGCCGGAGCAATACCACCGAGGGTAGGGTGTTTGCCTTGCACACGGAACAGGGTTCGATCCCTGGTATTCCATATGGCCGCCCAAGCACTGCCAGGGATAATTCCTGAGTGCAGAGCCAGGAGTAAACCCTGAGCATTGCCAGGTGGGACCCAAAAAGCAAAAATAAAAGTTTAGTTATATATATTAATATAATAATCTTTCTTCTAATTACCTGGAATAGATAACAATGGCTTAAATTTTATGTTATTTCCAGTAATTTTTTTGGACCCAATATATTAACGGCATAGCAAAATCTCAAAGAACTGTTTTTTTTTTTTTAACTGTTTATCATAGGATATACGACAGTGGTTTCCTATGTCTGAACTCTGAGCATAAAAGGATTAAAAACCACTGGTCTGGGCCAGAGAAACAGACTGATATGCTGCAGGCCCACATTCAACCCCCAGAATGACCCCAGAGCACAGGAATGGGAGTAGCCCCTGAGTACTCCTAGATGTGGCCCCCCCAGGTAAAAATTAAAAATCAAATGGTCTGGTCTACTGCAGAGATTATTAACCCTCAGTCTGTGTGCGCAGAGGTACAGAAAGATTGAACACCACCAATATACAATTATCACATGAAATTTTTTAGGTGTCCCATGAAAATTCAGAAATTAAAATCTAGATTTTAAGACAACATAAATAACTTGCAATCTCTCGTTTCCTATGGATATAACCTTTTCTTTAAAAAAAAATTTTTTTAGAGGACCCAAATATATCATTTAGAATTCGATTTTTCACTTCTTTCTGGGAATTGTTCAACCCTCATGTAAATGCAGTCTGAAACTGCCAGATTTTCTCGAGTAGACCTTCAACTTTTTGACTTAGTACAGAATTCCATTCTTAAGCTGACTCCCTTCCTTTTTCTTCTGTTGTGGGGCCACGCCCGGTGGTGCTCGGTGATGCTCCTAGCTCTGTGCTCAGCGATCAATCCTGGCAGTGCAGGGGTCCCTGGTGAGGTGCTGGAGATAGAGTGTGGATGCTGGCATGCAAGGCCAGCACCTCATCTGCTGTATTACTTTGCTCATCTTCCCCTTTTCTGCTGTGTTCTTTCTCTTTTTGTGAGTGCTTAAACATCCTGAAATACCCACAAATGCAAACTGGGTACAGATGTTCCGCACATACGATCAACAGATATCTAAAGGCATCGACTGTAAATCATGTGAGCATGCAAAAATCTGACAATTTTCAATGTATTCTGCAATAAGTATACATATTTTCATAAGCTGACTTCCTTAGAGACAAATTTGATTTACAATGCAGAACTATAGAACCAAATTTTAAAAAGAGTTGGGGGGGGGGGGGTTGAGACTATTGGCACATGCACCATACATCCCTGCGTCCTAGGGCGAGATCAACTTACACCAATATAGATCTTTTGTTCTTTCACTACTAAACTCCATTTCGAGCGACCAAAAGTAAGCCGAATTTTACTCTATGATGATATTGTAGGTTGTAGGATCCTGGCATCAGTGTTTTCAAATTGCTTACCACGGCTAGAAGGTGTCCGAGTTGTTTCTGTCTCATAAAAGCTTTGCTCTGAAGACACACCCACAGAGAGGGAATTTTTTCTCAAATAATACCGGTTTAATTCCATCTGAATCCGATATTCATCTTCCTGCTGCAGGGGTCGGTTTTTCCTATCTTTATTAGCTAACCCTATTTTGCTAGAATTTTCTACAGGTACACACAAGGAAAGCAAAATAATAATTAAATTTGGAATTAATCATCTCTCTCTCCAAAACCACTTATCTCCTTAATGGCAACCCACTTACCATTAATTTGACTCAACAGCAATTTAATACCAGAGTCCGTGCAAAACCACCACTATCAAGTATCAATCAGAGATCCTAAGGGGCGGTTTTCAACAGCTGGCTGGGAATCTTGCCCTTGATAGATGAGTCACTCAAAATATTTTAACACAGATTCCACTTACAGTACTCGGCAATTCTATTTCTCAGCTGTATGAAGTATTACCCTCAGCACAAAACCAAGCAACTTTGGAAAAATTAGGAATATTACATGGGGTCACAGCGATAGAAGGGTAGGGGAGACACTTGACTTGCATGCGGCTGATCCTGCTGTGATTCACAGGACCCTGCATGGTTGCCTGAGCACTGCCAGACGTCAGCCCTGAGAAATGTCATGTATGCTTCCCCCCACCCGTCCCCCCACATACATACACACACACACAATATATATATGTATATGTATATGTGTGTGTGTATATATATACATAACACACATATATAAAAACACACGAAGGACCTGAATGATAATTTGTGCCAGGATAACGCTATCTTAAAGACCCAATCAAATTTACCTCCTCATTTCTGTAATTTCACACATTCCTAGATTACAGAATCGGAAATAAGATCGACTTGCCTGGTCCAGCAATAGCTGCTAACATGTCCACGAGCAGGTGCACCTGCCTTGGCGACAGGAACAGATGGAGAGAATCGATCTGTCCATCAATATCCAACTTAAAAAAAAACAACAACAACACAATTTATTCAGGATGAGCACTCTTTACAACCCTTTCATCGCGAATTCCAGCAAATCCAGACATACTGAGGAATCCTGATTAATCACTGGATTCCTTTGCTGACGAGCCTAATCACCTCACGAAGAGGCGCCCTGCCGCCAAGTGACAGAGCTGTTCTGCCTCGCCCCCGCCACCTCCCTTCATCGCTGTGGCCACGCGCGGGCCCGGCTGTGGCGCCTGCCATTTCCCTGTGATGCTGGCTCGGGTGCCGGCTCAGGCGAGGGCACACGCTGGGCCGCAGAGCTCTCCCAGTCTGCAGGCACCCTGCGCTGTAATGTGGACACACACGCTCTTGGTTGGGGCCCACAGCCCCCGCCGTGGCGCCCGCCTGTGATCACGACAGCACCCTCACCTGTGCTCGTGGCTCCTGGCCACGGCACCCAGACATAGTTTTAGTTGTGCTGGCAGGGGATGCGCCTGTTTGTCTGCTGCAGTGCCGCCACCACTCTCTGTGGCTCTGGGGACGGCAGATAGCAGTCACCAGACAACACAGCAAACACTGCTGGGGCACAGGAGAGCGGGGATTTGAACTCATGACCATATGCTGGCAAGGCAGGTGCTGAGGCACAGTGCTCCTCGGGCAGGCCCCAAACTGCTGCTCTAAATTGGAAGACCCTGCGGAGAAATGCCACACTGGCAACTCTAAAGTCGTACTTGGGGTCTTTCTTTCTGAATATTGATAGTATTTGATGGGCTGGAGCGATAGTACAGTGGGCCAGGTGTTTGCCTTGCATACAGATGATCTGGGTTCTATCCCTGGCACTTATATGGTCCCCTGAACCCACCCGCACGGCAGAGCCTGGCAAGCTCCCCATGACGTATTCGATATGCCAAACACAGTAACAACAAAGTCTCCAATGGAGACGTTACTGGGCCCGCTCGAGAAAATCGATGAACAACGGGAGGACAGTGAACCCACCATAGGGCCAGAAGTAAGTCCTGAGTAGTACCAGATATGACCCCCAAATCAAAAAAAAAATCAGTATTTTTCAGAAGTTAAGTATATGAGAAGGCCTTAAAGACAGACTATCTCCAAGCTCCAACAAGACAGCGCCGTTGGTCCCCAGCACCCCCAAGCAGCAATGCACTCTCCAGGCCTAGCACGAGACCACCCATTAGCCTAAAGAAAGCATCTTATGTAGCAGTGCATCATATTCAGAACTTGGAAATCATAACCCTTAAATCTTGGTTCAGCCTAGAACAGGAAACCTGGCTTGCTTTTGGGGGCAGGGACATAGCTCAGTAAGCTGTCTGGCATGTGTGAATGGCATGAGTTAGATGAGTTAGATCCATGGCATAAGAAAGAAAGAGAAGATGAAGGGAAGGAGAAGGAAGGGGCTGGAGAGAGAGTGCAGAGGTTAAGAGCTTGCCGTGCATGTGGCTGTAACTGTGACAAGGACTCAAATCCTGCCATCACATGTGATCTCTTAAGCACAGCGCCCGAAGTGGTCCTAACCCTTGAGTGAGGAGGGGGCCCCTGAGCAACACTGACTGTGTGGCAGCAAAAGGGGAAGGGAAGTGGAGAGAGAGGGAGTGGAGGAAAGGGAAGCAAGGGAGGGGACGGGAGGGGAGGGGAAGAGGAAGGAGAGAGGAGAGGAGGAAGGGAGAAAAGGAGAAGGGATCCAAAGATGGCATGAAGATAACGGATTAAGAAGACGTAGTACATGCACACAATGGAACATGATGCAGCCGCAGGGGACGATGGAATCAGGCAACTCACTGCAACCTGAATGGAACTGGAAGATCTCACGTGAACTAAGTCAGAAGCAGCAAGACAAGCACAGGATGATCTCACTTATCTGTGGTATGCAGAATAACTGAGTGAGACAATGTAGTCTACGGGGCATGCCTAGACCAACCATGACCCCAGAGTTTAGGGAGGGGAGGGACAGAGAAGGAAAGAAATCAAGGGGGTGGAGGAAGAAGATGAGAGAGGGAAGTACTGGGGGAACAGGGGTCTGGCTTCGGTTGTGCTGCTATTAGGGGAGAGGGGTCTAGTTACAGATCCGGAGCACAGACCCAGCGACACTGCAAACAGGAGATCCAAGCGGCAACCACGGAACTTTGAGATATGCCTGTCAAGGAGGCAGGTGAGATGGAGGCGGGGGAGAGGAAAACGGAGCAGGGGAACACTGATGGAGACACACGAGGGTGTAGGAGATTGACCCTGGGTCAGCTGAGCGCAAGACAAGCACCCTACCCACTGTACTCTCTCTCCAGCCTCTAACGTGTTATTATTCTCCCTTGAAAAGGAATGTCTCTATCATCTCTGTTGGTTAAAGTTTACATTAAAAAGATGTCAGAGGGGCTGGAGCGATAGCACAGCGGGTAGGGCGCTTGCCTTGCACGCAGCCGATCCGCGTTCGATTCCCAGCATCCCATATGGTCCCCTGAGCACAGCTAGGAGTAATTCCTGAGTGAAGAGCCAGGAGTAACCCCTGAGCATTGCCGGGTGTGACCCAAAAAGAAAAAAAAAAAAGAAAGAAAAAAAAAGATGTCAGAGTGTACTCAGTGCATCACCAGCTCTAGATGTTTCACTGGGCCTCCTCTGACTGATACAGAGATGAGTGGAATACAGTTTATCTGCCTGTTCAGAGACACGAGGGGGTAACTGAGATAGTGGGAGAGAGAGTCACTTTCGAGTGCACGTGCCTATCCAGACATAGGTTTTCAGCAGACTACGGATTCCAGAGTCCTATCCTGCTAACTGCTCTGTCCTACCTCAGGTGACAGAAAATCCTTCCACCAGCTCTTAAACCTCTGCATAAAACACCACAATGGGATCATTAACAGAGCAGAAGGCCAGAGGTATTTACTAACGCTGCAGGGAGTCCTCTGCTGTGGAAACCTCCTCGGGAAATGAACACACTTAGGCCTCTGGGGAATACACCTGCTCTTTCTCTTGCAAAGGATGAACCCAGCACTCACGCTCATGCTTCTGTCTGGTGAATTACAGTCCTGAACATTTGTATATTTGGTTCTTGTGTAGACCCATCCTTGTACACGTCATGGACCCATTTGTACAAACTCCTCTTAGAGGTTACTTTAGGACAGCCATTTATTATGTGACAAGTGAAACCCAGAACTGTTAGCCAGTGTGGACGTTTGCAGATACTGCAATCCTTGCCTGTCTGGTGATTCTCGGGTATTTTGAGTATGTGAGCACATTTTGTTCTCAGTCTAGTGCAAGTGAATCTGAAACGGAATAACAGTTCTGGATCTAGCCTTGACCAGTGTAGGCCTCACCATGTTAACACGGTACGGGGAGCTTGAGACCATGTGGGGGCTGGAGTGCAACTTACACACGTGTCTAGGGTTTGATCCCTGGTGCTGCCTGGTCTCCCAGCACAGGCACCAAAAAGGGGTACAAAGATTCGCTACACTGTTTCAGGTCGGTGAGAGTACTTCCATCTCGAACTGTGTGAGTTTGATGTTTCAGGATTCGACTTTATCAGCATGTTTCAGGAAGGGATCGTCTACGAAAATAGGGGCCACTTAGGGTGTTTCCCATTACATTTCTGCGCTGAGTTTAAGAGTGCTAGGACGCGGGATGAATTCTAGCACTAAACTCAGTGCTAGAATTTAGTGGAGGCAGCTCTCACTCCTGAGCTGCAGTAGAAGGGCAAGATAGTCCTCGTGCATTTTCAGACCAAAGGACAAATACAAGATGAGGAGGCGGGAAAAAACATGAATTTCAGAACTGCAAGTAACCCAGTTCCAGGTTCTTCATAGTACCTGATGAGTGCTGAGAGAATACCGTTCCACTGTCAAACATCAGAACAAGGGAGGGGGGAGGGGAGCAAAATAAAACCCATCACAACGAGATACTGACCTTTGCCCCTGGAAGTACTTCGTTCTGCTTCAATGTGAGACTCAACTCCAATTTACCAATCAGCCCTCCGATCTGCACAGGGTCAGAGGGCGCTACCTCCGGCAAACTTCGAGTCAGTTGTGGGTGTGGCTCATAAGAAATTTTGGGGTTCCAGCTAGGTGACAACTTTGGCTCAGTTTCCTACGATGAAACAGTAAGGAAAATAATTCTCTCAAATGCTTTCGTGCGGCAGAGTGATACTACAGCGGGGAGGGCACCTGCCTTACATGCCATCAGCTATAAGTCTGAGTGCTTTTAAGATCTCTGAACTCTATTTCCCCCTTATGAATATCTGCAACGACCCCCAAACAGACGGTAACTCTTTAATACACATCATACATATCTTAGCGAAAGTATTTAACAGCCCTTACGTCTACCTTTGAAGAACCAATAGCTTTGCTTGAGTCCTTTGGTTTGCCCTGGGCTGGTTTTGTTTTTCTTACCACTGGTGCAGTTGAACACACTGGGGAAGATTTTGCTGATGCAGAAAACTCATCCCAGAAGAGAGACACTCCAGAGAGCTGAAGTAACTTGTGAGCAAAAGCCGTGGGTTGGTGCACATTAATTCCTGAGGACTCATCGGCAGTCTCGTCACAGTACACGGTTCTAAAGTTAAGCACAAAAAGAGCATTTGCATAAAACTCCTACAAATAACTAACAACGACAAGAAGCAAGCATCAATTTTGAAGCTGAAGGGATTTTTCACTCCTCCCTCCACTAGGTTACGTGGGTCAGCATTACCACGCTTTACTACATTGACATTTTCATGAAGACTCTTCGACCCTCCCACCAAAGGACAACTGGAGGAAATTCCATGTTGTGCTTCCAAAAGTTAGCTTCAAGGGAAAGGATTCCTGTGCTCCCCCACAAATATCCACTGTGGCAGTGCAGGGCTTTGAGTCATAAGTGTGACATGAGTGACATTTTTTTTAAATTCTTATGACTGTTCTACATATTCCGATGACTAATCTTCAGTTTAAAGAGAACACAGAAGGCAGTTTTAAAGACATGAGAGTTTATTTTTAAATATATCGTTTATGGTAATGTAACCTAAATTCAAAGAGCAGTTTCACTAACTCTTTTGATAAAGCGTGTCTTTGGTGAAAGACAGTCATAGAGTTAGTATGTTTTATGAAAGACAATCATAGAAGCAGCAGGTCACATATAAGCTTAAAAGGCTGCCAAAGGGCTGGAGCGATAGTACCGTGGGGAGGGCGCTTGCCTAGCACAAGCCCAACCGAGGTTCAATCCCCAGCCTCCCCTATGGTCTCCCCAAGCCCGCTAGGAGTAATTTCTGAGTGCAGAGCGAGGTGTAATCCCTGAATACTGCCAGGTGTGACCCAAAGACCAAAATTAAAAGGCTGCCAGTAGACCCACAAACAGAATATGTAAATTACATGTCTATATATATGTGTCATTACTTCTGGTGGCCATTTACACGGCTTTGGAATACAAATGGAGAGTTCCTACTTCAAATCAATATTCAGGTGCGATCATGAAAATCAGCCCCTATATCAGAGAGCTCCAGTGGGCACACCCAGAAAACTATAAGTGATGTATTTATCTTTTTAAGCTATAAAAAAGAAAATGAAAAATACATCTACCCTTTTCCACAGAAACAGCCTTTAGATCAAGCACAGAAAAGCAAGAGAGGTGTTCGCTCTAATGAACTACGTAGGCATAATGAACTATGCCTACATAAAGTATGCAGACATAGTTCATTGAGAGCTTGTATTGGAAACACTGAAACAGAGTGTGTTCAATTCAGCTGCACTCAAACATTCATCATTTTGATTTAATATTAACTAAAAGAGACTACAACTTGCTTCAAATGGCAGTCAATATGGTTGCATATATCACTAAATCCCAACTGGAGCTTCCAAGTCCTTCACTAATGGGATCTGAGTATACCTTAGAGAGCAACACTGCTTTGAAACATGCAACATATTAATTAGGCATCACCTCAGGTCTACAAAAGCATCATGAAATCTACTGACACTTAAATTTTATTTATTTTGAAAGAAAAGAATAGGGTCGGTGGCCTGAGCCACCGTACAGTGGATAGGGCCGACTGGGGTTCAAACTCCAGCATCCCATAGGATCCCCCGAATACCCCTGCGAGTAATACCTGAGCACAGAACCAGGAGTAAGCCCTGAGCACTGCCAGGTGTTGCCCCCCCAAACCTCTCCCTCACAAAAAAAGAATAGGGCATGTGTTTTCAGACAGTCTTACCTTTCTATTCGAATTTCAAGTGCAGTTCCAGTTTTGGAATTTTCTGGCACATGTTCGATTCTCAAGACAGTGTCTATAAAAGTGACTTTTACTCTTCTTAGTACTGGAATAAATGGGTAACCATTAACATGAGGTGATATGTAAACTTAATAAAAATATCTAATAAAATGTATGTACTAAGCCCTAATGAAAGAAATATTGGTTTTATAAGAAATGATATTTTTTAAAGAGCTTATTTTCCCTCTGTAGTCTCTAAATCTTTTAAAAATACACTGCCCGCTGAGCACTTACCCTATATTTCATCTCAACAAACACTTGGACCAATGCCTAATACGATCTGTTGAAGTCTTTCATTATGTAAGCATAATACAATAGAGTAAAAACTGGATAGTGAAGAACACAAAATTAAAATGAATATAACATCTACAATAACCTTGAGGTCGAAAACAGGGGCCAGGAGGACTGATGAATGGTTGGAAGTTTGCCACAAGTGTGTGAGGCGTGAAGGGCAATTAGGATAGAGAAGGGACCACGAGTGTGACGATAATCGTTGGAAATGATAACTTCGTACAGGAACTGAGTGTTGAAAGTAGATAAAGGGACTTTCCGTATCTGTATTTCAAACCACAATGCCCGAAAGGAGAGAGAAAGAGAGATGTGTTGCCATAGAGGTGCGGGTTGAGGGGCGGAAGGGAAACCAGGGACACTGGTGGTGGGAAACAACATGCACCGCTGAAGGGACGGGTGTTGGAACATTAGATGACCGAAATCCCACCATGAACAACTTTGTAACTATCTCTCTGTGATTCAACTAAAAAAAAATTTTTTGAAAAAAAAAAAAAACCACACACACACCCCTTACAGCCAAGGAGAAAATACAGGGTTTGCAGTGCTTGCCTTGTGTGCAGCGACCCAAGTCTAGTCCACGAAGCACCATCAGGAGTAACCCAAGCATAGGCAGGTGTGGCCTACGCACCCCCCTCCAAAAATAACACAACTTCAATTGTAGGCCCAGGGAGATACCACCAGAGACCTTGCATTCGGGAAGCCCAGTTCATCCCTGGCATTGTGTGGGTCCCCCAAGCACTGCCCAAGTATAGCTCCATGTATAGCTCCAAAACCCAAGAAAATGAAAAAATAAGTAACTTCAACTATAAAATTCTGAAAAATGATAGTGCATTTAAAAATGCCTCCTAAAAAATTAAATTAGAAACCCCTCCTATTGACAGAGAAGAAAGGCCGCGGGGAGGCTCCACAGCTCCCGGATAATGCTCCAGGTCCCAAAGAGAGCCGAGATCACTGGGAAGTCCCAGATGGGGTAGGTGCCGCATCCCGCCTCCTCCAGATGGAACCCCGGTGACCATGAGCCTCTACAAGCATAGCTCGAGTATGCGGGAACCAGGACTTTTACCCCAAACCGCACGGTCGCGACATCTCCTTATATATAAAGTGATCGATCAATAGAAAGTAAATTCTCCAACGTTTCTCCCTGAAAATCAGGCTTAACTCTTTCACAAACCACAACACCCAATAGGAAAGAGAGAACAAAAGGGAATGCCCTGCCACAGAGGCAGGGTGGGATGGAGGAATGGGGGGTTGGAGGGATACTGGGATCAGTGGTGGTGGAGAATGGACACTGGTGGAGGGATGGGTATTCAAAATAATAAATAAATTAAAAAAAAAAAAGAAAGAAACCCCTCCTATTGAGACAGCTCGCTCTGCATGTGGCAGACCCAGGTTCAATCCCTGGCACCACAAAGGGTCCCCTGAGCCCCACCAAGAGTGATCCCTGAGCACAGAGCCAGGAGTAAGCAGCCAGCACCACTGGGTGTGGCCTCAGGAAAACATAATTGAAATTGAAATACTCAGTAGTGCCAAACCTGTTTCAATGGTTTCGGCAAACTTTTCAAGTCCTTCAAAAGGTTGGGATCCTTCTCCTTGTTCATCGGTTAGTTTCTGGCTTAGACATTCTTTCGCCAATTGCATGCTGCTGGTCATGAAACTTGACCAATACATAGGCTCAGAACCAGTTGCTGCAGAAAATATGAAATTAATCCGAAATAATGTATCACTTACAAAAACCTGATTTCTTAAACTAACACATTTCAAATCAATGCATTCTTAATCCTCCATAATTAGTATCATGGTGTTATCCAGGGATACAAAATTCAATAAGTTGACCCTTAAGATTTAAGCAATACCTTATAAGAACAAGGAAAACAAAAATAAAACATCACAGAGAAAAGCCCAGGGATGCATACTCTTATTACATGATATACTTTTGCCAGGCAGTAACTCATCTATTTCCTGAATAAGTATTTTGCCCATGCCAATTCTAAATAGCTTAGAGCAGCCATCAATAAACCTTTCCCATCAAGGTTCAGGACTAAAATCTTTTAGGCTAAACAGGCAATATGATCTCTTTACCTCTATACCATTCAAATCTGCTACTAACACGAAAGCAGTCACAGAGAATAAATCATGAGTAAGGAGGTGTTCCAATAGGACATTGTTTATAAAAACAGGTAACAGACCAGATTTGGATTGTGGGCCACTGTTAGGTAACTGACCCAAGTAAGGGATGGAAAAATAAACATCATAAATTCTGCTCTCAGCCAAAAGGCTAGCATAAGAAATAAAACTGAGAAGAATTCAAAGGCAACTATTGAGTGTAAACAGCTTTTTGCAATACCTCAGAGAGGTATGTTTGCCCAGATGCAGAAACTGACCAGGTACCTGGTAGAAGCAGTAGCGGACCTGAGCTTCAGCAACCAGTATGAATGCAGGTGAGCCAGGAGAGCATGCTTGGTGGGAGGGTCACCTGGACTGCTAAGTGTGTGTCCCTTCCAGATGATCCCTCCTAAGAGGATTCCACTACAGCTCTTGACATTAATCAAAACAGCTGAAAGGGCCACAAGTACATGCCTTGCGTTCCCGAGGCCCCGGGTTCAATCTTAAAGGGCAGGAGCTAATGCCTCGCACTTCTGAGGGGCTAGGTTCAGCACCGATAGGTGGCCCCAGTGGCCCTTGTCCCACTGGGCCTAAGCACTGAACCGTCAGATCTACTCCTTGCGCTGAGTGTCACCAGGAGTGGCCCCTGACCCCCAAGGCTGACTGTCTTCCAAAATGGAATTTATAGGCTCTTTTAATATACTTTTAAAGAAATGAGAGAATATTCAATTATCTGTAGAAAAACTTCCTGCAGTTAAAAGATATCATTTTTTGTTAAATTATTAAGAAGAATTTCTATGCATTGATAACCAATTTTCAAAATAAAGGTGCTATAATTCCTCTAAACATAACTTAAATTTGGGAGTTTTAGACAACACTTGGGATTATATATCTTTACAAATAGCATCTGTCACTGTAAAAAGAGCAGCTTAGAATATCATGACTTAGTAGCTTATAAACACATATACATCAATACCCTGCACTCTGTGGTTTATGTGTGGGTGCACGCATGCACACACACGCATGCACTAGCTCGCTCGCTCTCTCTCTCTCTCTCTCTCTCTCTCTCTCTCACACACACACACACACACACACCACGGCTACAGGCAGTATGGCCTTGGAAGCCATAGCTCCCAATTCTTTTGGGTCAAAAACATGGAACTCTATTGGGTCAACATGGAATCACCAGATATTGAGCCCAACTGGCCAAGTATCAACAGGATTGACCTCCAGGCTTGGGAGGTCAACAAAGGAAAAAGAAAATGAAGAAAAAAAGACACACTTCACAGCACAAAACTTAAGAAACAAACCTAATGGGGGCCCTGGAACTAGATGACCTGAGCTAACGCCCATCTAAGTGATCTGGACACATCATTCAAGTCACCCGTGCTTCAATTTCTTGTCCTATGAGTAGAGATCCTACAAAGCAAATATCTCAAAGAGCCAACGTGAAGACAGTTGTAAAGCGCTTAGAGCAGTATCTGGGGCGCGAGGAGCCCTAGAAACATGTTTGATAATTAGAAAACATATGGAAATCAAAGCTACCACATGCATATAACTGATAAACAATCACCAATGCTTTAAAGGTTCTCTCTTACAAAGGTTTTAAATTTTCAATGCGAAGGAATGTGTGAAATGATGATGGAATGAACACCTACAATCACCTCACAGATATTCACCTAGAGACCACTTGCACATGCGCACACACACAAATATTCACACTCATACTTGGCTGAACTATTTGGCGATTAACTGCAGTCATCTTAACACTCAAAACATCAGAGTGTAAATCCTCAGAACAAGAACACTATCCTGAAAAGCTCAATACCATTAACAGACCTGAGAAACAATGACACAGTATTTGAATATATTCCAAATTTGCTCAGCTTCCCCAATAACACCCCTTACCGCCCCCCTGCAGCCATACATACATATTACTATACACTACAATTAGTTATTTGTGTGTTTAATCTTTTTAATCTCCCTTTCTTGACAGTGACACTGGTTTTCTCAATTCTGGGGGACAAACCCAAGAGAGTTCAAGGATTACATGTAGCTCAGTGCTCATCCCTGCAGTCTCAGGGACCGAACCCAGGCTCCCTGCATGCAAAGCACGCACTAATAAGCCTTTGAGCTGTCTCTGCAGTCCAACACTGACATTTCTGAGGACTAACCAGTCCATTTGTAGCACTTACTTTGACTTCACTGACCACTTTCCTTTGACCGGTTCATATTAAGAACTTTTTCGCAGAAACAGCATATAAGGGTTACTGTGTCCTCAGATTATCAAATGCACACACATTGGACCCATTATTGACAAACTGAAGTTTGATGACTGTTATAATGGTGGCTCCACTATAAAGAAACCTTTTATTTTTGGACATATCTGTAATCAATGGGAGCTATTTGGATACTGTCTAAAGCATTTAGGTCCTGGGGATGGAGAGAGATAGTACAGCGGGCAGGTGCTTGCCTTAACCTGGCTGACTCGGGTTCAATTCCTGGCAACCCTGCAGGGTGCCCAAAGCCTGCCACAAATGATCCTGAGCGTAGAGCCAGGAGTAAGCTCTTAGCACCACTAGATGCAGTCCACAACTGGTCGTCCACAACCTTTTAACAAATATTATCAATATTGATGAGTCTTGTCCATATCAATTTTTACTATGGTAGCTAAACATAGTGATATTCTATCATTTTTTTCTATCTATACAAGTAGATATTTTACTGTAATGAAAAGCTTTTCCTTCTCCCTGTCCCCTGATTTATTTAGTTATTTATAGTAAATATGGAGTTGGGGTTCTTTAAATTTAGTTATAGTGCTTTATTGTCATTATTCTTTTTGATACACAAGATTTCCCAGATTCGACCAATACGAGTCCCTTCAAACTCAACACTGTGTCTTAAGGTATTAACTCTTTTTGTATTTCCCATCAATTTCTGGGTACCCCATCTCTATTTGGCACATTAAATGGTTAAAAGACAAGTCACTTTAGATAATTTGTATTGAAAGATTAAAATAATTCATCTATAGGCTAAAGTTCTTAAGAATCAACAGAGAAAGACAGTACTCTTAAGAGTACAATCACATACTCCCTGTGTGGATTTCAGTTCTAACATTTTATCGACAGAAAATCTCACCAATACATTGCAAAGTGAAAAAGACCGAATCGAATGCAATTAGGTTACTTTACCAATCACTTTAGAGTAAAATTAGAAGCGAGACAGAAATCTATAACACACCTACCTAGGCGAGGTCGAGGTCGGAAGACCATCTCTAACCCTTTCACTTCCAGTGCACAATTGTCCTGCAGCAAGGAACCCCAAGGGACGGACAGAGAAATGGACTGTATGAATCCCTCAGTGACTTCTAAAGGTGCATCTGCTGACTCCAGGATCTCGTTGAGACACTAAAGAGAAAATCCAAGCACATTTTCAAATCACATGCACAAGAACGCAAGATCATTTATTTAAAGATGCTGAGTACGCTCGTACATATATCAAGCACTGGGAATTAAGGCAGAGAACAAAATAAAGACGATTCCCATGCTCATTAAGTTTATAGGAAGGCTTACCACGAGAGAGAGGTCTAATTAAAGTGTGAGGAGTTGTGGGCTAGAGGAACAAACTCCACTTAGCTAGCTGCACAGGAGACAGAACCTAACCTGGAAATTCCAATCAGGCCACCGGAGGAAGTGCTATCATAAATGGAGGCCAGAAGGCTGGGGAGTTATCCAGGCAAAGTGACAGGAACTGAAAGAATGCAGAGAAAGCAGAACGCAAGCACACAGATTTGCGAGAAAAAAATACAAAATGCAGGACAGAGCTGCAGCTCAGGGTGTAACACATGCCTTGCCTGTAAAGGGCCTGGATTGGATCACCCTCCCAAAAAAGCAGATGAAAGATTTCAAGGTTTCTATTCTTGAAAAAGAAGCATGCTGAAAGTAGGCTATAGACCGAACACGATTGCCACTCAATGCCTCTCTTGCAAAACACAGGACCCAAAAGAGAGAGAGAACAAGGGGGAATGCCCTGCCACAGGGGCAGGGTGGGATGGGGGGATGGGGGATGGGAGGGATGCTGGGACCCATGGTGGTGGGGGATGGGCTCTGGTGGAGGGATGGGTACTGGATCATTGTATAACTGAAACCCAAGCACAAAAACTTGTAAGTCTATAACTGTACCTCATGGTGTTTCACAAAAAAAAAAAAAAAAAAAGTCATGATTTACAAAGTTAAAAAGAAAATGAAAAGCTTCTTTAGGCAGGGTGGTGGGCCCCAAAAGGGTTCCATAGTTAAAGAAAAATGGGTCCAAAGAGCCTAACAGAGACCCTGGAACAACAGGTGAAGGTACACTTATAGACTAAGGTGTTTTTTTTCTTCCTCCCTCCCCCCCCATAAGTATACTGAAAGTTTTCAGAGATTTGTGAAGATTTAAAACAAACAAACAAAAAATCTTACTGGCAAGTTATACAGCCTAAGAATATTGGGAAAATTAAGACAAAGTTAGCATGTTGCTACTATATGTATAAACTAGTTTACCTCTACTTTAAAATACACCTTAATTTCTTACTGGAAGTTAAAATGTATCTTAGAGGCTGGAGCAATAGCACAGCGGGTAGGGCGTTTGCCTTGCACGTGGGTGACCCAGGTTCAATTCCCAGCATCCCTTATGGTTCCCTGAGCACCGCCAGGGGTAATTCTTGAGCGCAGAGCCAGGAGTAACCCCTGTGCATCGCTGGGTGTGACCCAAAAAGCAAAAAATAAAATAAAATAAAATGTATCTTAACCTGCAAACACAGACCTACACAGCATCATTTAGAGTGGAGAAATGTAAACAGAGGCAAAATAAAGCATAAGGGCAGGAAATTAATATGGTACATGATGTCCTACAGTCCAACAGTTTCCCAGCCACCTCCGGCCGCCACTGTGGTGAGCCCAGGGTGCGAAGGCACTTTACCAATGATCTGCTCTCTCCAGGTGAAAAAGAGAGGTACACGCAGATTTTCAGCTGAGGTGGGACTATGGCCCTCATGGCCCTCCGCACCTCACATGGCTCAGTGTCAACTGTAATGCGTGTTCAGGCGTCTGACATTTGCCTCAAGTGAGCTCTACAACTACTCAAGTATGTGAAAAGAAACGGTGCCAGGAAGCTTGAACTCTGTACTTCACTACCATATGCACTGGGGGAAAGAAATTCCAGCAAGGAGGGTTAGTCGGCTAGAAGTGAAAGAAAGTAGAGAACCTGGTTTGGCAAGAACAGTAACTCTAAAAACATCTAGAAGTTGACAGGGGCTGGAGCAACAGCACAGCGGGTAAAGCGTACGCAGCCGACCCGAGTTCGATTCCCGGCATCCCATATGGTCCCCTGAGCGCCGCCAGGAATAATTCCTGAGTACAGAGCCAGGAATAACTCCTGTGCATTGCCGGGTGTGACCCAAAAAGCAAAAAAATAAATAAAAAATAAAAAATAGAAGTTGACATATATTTGTAATCATAGAAAAATGAACTTGGACCACGAGGGACAGAGAAGGAATGAAGAACACCACCGAGGTTGCTGAGGTGGGGAACTGCTCAGATGGACAATGGTGCCGTTCCTGTGTGACGTGACAAGGGAATCCTGGAGAAGCAGGTTAGGGGGGAGGCGAGTGGCCGAGATGAAGAGAGAATCCTGCAGACGGCGAGGTCGATGTCCCAATCGCCAATCCACAGAGGCCGGTCCACGGTATTAAAAAGCTGAAGAAAGCTGATTTTGAAGGCGCAGCTGAAAATTCCAGTGTAGAGCTCGTGAGCTCTATCTCCACTCCACATAAGAAGGGTGTCACACTCGGAGCACTGGCAAATGAAGGCATGGGAAGAAGGGGAGATGGCCGTTTGTAAGGGATGTACAGTAAAATGACCTACGGCCTAAGAAAGTCTCCGGATGAAAATCAACATTTAAGAAAGGGGTTAGGAAAAAAATCTGTGGCATGAACTATCAAGAAAAAGGCACAGGGCCTGGAGGGACAGTAACGTGGCAAGGTACTTGTCTCTCGTGCGAACAACCTCGGTTGAGTGTCAGCACTCCATACGGTCCCCTGGGCCCACTAGGAGTGCTCCCTGAGCACAGAGCAAGAGAAAGCCCTAAACACAGCGAGGTGTTTTGTGTATGTATGTGTGTGTAAGTTCACTGAATATGAGTTCAACAGGGAAAGAAACATTAAATCGGTGTGTCCTTGTGTGTGCACTTGGCAAACTGCTGGGCCCCGAATATGTAAAGCAAGTGCTGTTAGCCAATGCAGCTAAATTTCCAAAGATCAATGAAGAGTTTGTCCAAGCATTTTCAAATGGACACTGGTGGGTTACCGAGAGCCCACAGAGTGAAATCAGAGCGCCCAACAACATGGGGAAACATGAGGTGATCACACTAAGTGAAGCACGTCAGGAAGTAAAAGACAATCACAGGATGCTTTCACTCCTACGGGGGCCAGGAATAACCCAAGCGAAGGACCTGGTAAAACACGGCAGAAATAATGACTGAACTCTGAAAGCCATGGTGGCTAGCAAAGGGAAAGGGCTAGTGAGTAGAGCGGTCACTGGGGACAGCGACCTGGCACCTGCATTTTGGGTGAGGCTGTGAAACTTCCAGAGCACTGTGAGAGTCCACCCGCAAAGTCACAGAATCATAGAGAAGACCGATGAGATTAGATGGAAGCAAAACCCAACACACCAAAATCACCCCCACAAACTATTTAAATTCACAAAGGACCAATGTCTAGGTGGAATAGTTTAGGTTCTGAGTTCGATTCCCAGCACCACTTGCTGGATGTCCGCAGGTCCCCAAAGCCACAAACCCAAACATCACAGTGAGTGGTTCCAGCCAGCCCACCTCACCCGGCATAGCTCTACTTTTTAAATGAAGATCTTTTACAATGAGCGAGCTTAGTCTTTAGAACCAAGACCTGTGGGAAAGGGCCAGCAAATCTCAGAGGGGACCCCAGAGTTACAAGATTTGAGAAATTCGGGGTTCTTGGGTCTTCTGAGGTAGTATGGGGAATGGAAATATAGGAGTCACAAGGACAGAGGTAGAATCCTGCTTACTAAGTACTAATCCCAAGTAAGTTACTGAACCTCAAGGCAAAATGAAGACAGCAGCACACAGCTTAGAACAAGTAAATGTGTGTAAAAGCACCCAGTACAGTTTTAAAAAGAAAAAGAGAAATACATGTAAGGCAAATATATATATGAAATTAGCAGTCCTGATATGTATATGTCAGTTCTGATACATATGAAATTAGCAGTTATATAGTACTGAGATATATATACATACATAGTTCTGAATTAAAAAAATATATGTGTGTGTATATATATATATATAAAATATCAGAACTGTTTCATTATTTCTAAAATAAAAAGAATTTCTGGTGCCATACTGTTAACTTTGGGAGAGATAATGTTACCAGTTTCCTGTGCTGCATGTTTATATTAGTATAGATAGATAGTCCCGTTGATACATATGTATTTTTCTCTTGAATTTTTTGCAATGTGCATTTATTAGTCTTCCAATTAAAAAAAAAAAAAACAAAGAGGGCCGGAGAGATAGTACAGTGGGTATGCTTATCTTGCGCACAACAGATCTGGATTTGATATCAGGCACCCCATATGGTCCTCTGAGCCTGCCAGGAGTGATTCCCTGAGTGCAGAGCCAGGAGTAAGCCCTGAGCACATCTGGGTGTGGTACAAAAACCAAAAAGAAAATAAATAATAGAGCACTAGAATGACACAAATTGTCCTAAGGAGTGTTTAAACAAGAGGCACCTCTACAATATGGCTATCTTTCATATCAGATGTCCATCCATGAAACTAAATTTGACTGATTTCTTAATAAATATCAACTGTTCATATGTCTCTATTTTGTGGCTCCCTCCATTGAGTCTTAAAATATAATAGTTCAGAAAGTTTTATGATAGCCCTAAAAAAAATTAGCTGAAAAAAAAAAAACAGTAGAGAAAAATAGTTCTGGAATAAGTCAACTGTTCAAGAATTTCAACTGTGCCCTGAACTGCAATAACTATCTCTAAGTATAAAATATTTAAATAACTGTTCAATAAATGCTCACCATCATAGTCTTATGTGCACTGGGGCAAAATCCCCTGTATCTTTGATCACAAGCACTTTTTTAAATTCAGGACTGGAGCGACAGTACAGCACATAGGGCATTTGCCTTGCGTGTAGCCGACCCAGGTATCTGTGGCATCCTGTATGATCACCCCCAAGTCCACCAGGAGTGACCCCTGAGTGCAGAGCCCAAACACCAAAAACAAATAAATAAAATTCGCTCATTCTAGGGCTGGAGAGATAGTATAGCAGGTAAGGTGCTTGCCTTGCCAGTAGTGATCACTGAGCGCAGAGCCAGGAATAAGCCCTAAGCA